GTCCAGAATGCGGGTTTGACTTGTCTTAGTTTCGGCCTTCCTTTGTACCTCAAATTGCAGAGCACATGGTCACTTGCCCCTAAGGATCCTACCACTTCGACCGCATCGATCAGGTCCTCCGCATTTGTTAGGATGAGATCAGAGTAGCCAATCCCCTTGTTGCCTCTTCTACCTTCTGGACCATGAAATTGTCTGCAAGGCAAGCGAGCAATTTGTTGGACTTTGTACTCTTGGCCGAGTTTGTTTTCCAGCAAATATCGGGATAGTTGAAATCGCCCATGACTACTACATCTCTTTTCTGTGCCTGTTTGGTCAACTGTTGACAGAAGACTTCATCAAGTTCTTCCTCCTGGCTTGGGGGTCTGTAGTAGACGCCTACAATGACATCTTTTTGAGTCCCAGTTCCCTTGATTCTTATCCAGATGATTTCAAGCTGGTTTCCCAGATTGCTGTCTTGAATCTCTTCTGCAGCATAAGAGTTTTTGACATATAAGGCTACTCCGCCTCCTCTCCCCTTTGTTCGGTTTCTGTGAAAGAGGTTATACCCCTCGATATCTACATTCCAGCGATAGGAGTCATCCCACCAGGTTTCAGTGATCCCTATGATATCATATTTGTGGTGTTGTGCTAAAAGTTGGAGTTCGTCTTGTTTATTTCCCATGCTCTGTGCATTAGTGTAAAGACATGTGAGCCCCTGGATCTTCCCTTGAGCTGTTTAATTGGGATTATTGTGCTTTTGGTACTTGGTCCTTGTTGTGTTTGTGCAGCCCTCCGTTTAGCCTTCTGGCGATTCCCAGACATTATGGGTAAAGTAGTGTTCGCAAGGCTGTTGTCCCCCTCCCCCGGTGGACCTAGTTTAAAGTGCGTCTAATGAGGTTGCGAGTCTGTGAGCAAAAAGGTGTTTTCCTACTTGTGTGAGATGCACCCCATCCCTTGCCAGTAGGCCATCCTCCTGGAAAAGCAGGCCATGGTCGAGGAAGCCAAAGCGTTCCTCCTGACACCATTTTCTAAGCCAGTCATTGACCTGTACTATTTTTCTGGCTCTTGTGGGTCCGGATCACTGCCTGTCAAATTCAGTAGATCACTGCCTGTCAAATACAGTTTTTAAAAAATAATTAATAACCTTCTGCATTACCTTTACTCAATGTGATATTTAGCTGAATTTGGTATTTATCACTCAACAGATTAGATTTTATAGGTGTAAATTCAATTAGCAGATCATACTACAGCAGATCCACTATAGCAGTCATGGGATGGTAAATCAATGCTTTTTTAACTCAGTTAATATGGTTGGGATTGGGAACAGGATTTAGATTGGATTGTGAATTGTAAACTCTTTCAGATGTTGCTGAATAGTAATTTCCAGTAGTCCTAGGGCCCTTCCACACAGGCATATAACCCAGAAAATCCCACAATATCTGCTTTGAACTGGCCGTATATTCCAGTTCAAAGCAGGAAATGTGGGGTTTTATTCAGTTGTGTGGAAGACACAGTTAGTGCTGAGGAAAGTGAGAATTGAAATTCCATAATTAGAGGAATTTTATTCCCAGCTTATTCATCCCAGCATCTGCCTAATTATAATGAGGCATGAATTTCTCAACTAGACTGCAAGTTAGTGTACCATTATCTAGCAACCGTTCTTAACCTATTACTGTAAGATATAAATTAATATAAGATTGTTAAGAAAAATGCATCAGCTATCTACATTTGTAGGTATAACTTTTGATGATTTGATTACTTATGGATTTGATAAATATAATCTCTCTGGAAATTTCTAGTTCTTCCTGTGCAACTGTATGGTCTTTCTGTAGCAGAAGCTGACCACAGAACCATGTTGAAATGCCATGTTGAGAGGTGTTTTCTCAAGTTTTAAAAAAAGTGCCGAGTTGTTTTATTCTTATTACTTTACTGACACAAAATCACGGTATGTCACAGCAAACGAGATATATATGATGGATTTCGTATCACAAAATCACAAGTCAAACACTTCCCAAGTGTCTAGGACTGTGTGATGTATTTTCGAATGATGCGCACAGATCCAAGTAAGGTGACTTTTTGCAGTTGACAGATCGTGATTTTTGTTGTTGTTGTTGGTGTTGTTGTTGTTGTTGTTAGTGGGTTTCTCCACTTTTCCACAGGCCCTAACTCCTCTAAAAGTGGAAAGTCTTTTGCATTTGCAAAAAACCCCAATCTCAAAGTATGAAAAAAACCAATCTTAAGGCTCCCTACTGTGAACAGCCTATTAAAAGAAAGGGATAAAGGGCTTAATTTTCTCTCTCCTTTGCACACTGTTTGCTTTTATGTATCATCTTCATGGTATTAATCAATTTTTACAGATTATTTCATTGAAAATCTTGAATACATAATTGTGAGTTTCTATAATAGTAGTTTGCTTTAGTGTCTTTTTCTGGATTTGAACTGATTAGAATGATAAAAGAAGGAATGTGCAGATGTTGACAAAACATATAAAGTGTACCCATAACTTGATTGGCACCCACTCTTTTGGAATTATTGGGGTTGAATAGCTTACTAAGAAACTTGATAAAATCAAAGACTATCTAGAATACACACACACACACACACATCATGTCAGGAGCAACTTGAGAAACTGCAAGTTGCTTCTGGTTTGGGAGAATTGGCCAAATGCAAGTACATTGCCCAGGGGACGCTCAGATGTTTTACCATCCTATGGGAGGCTTCTCTCATGTCCCCGCATGAGAAGCTGGAGCTGACAGACAGGAGCTCACCCCGCTCACCAGATTCAATCCACTGACCTTTCGGTCAGCAGTCCTGCTGGCACAAAGGTTTAACCCATTGCACCACTGGGGGCTCCTTACAAAATATTGAGAATAGAGGAAATTATTTACTCCTATTTTACCTACAGCTATAGGAACTGACATTATACAAACAAACAAAAATGTGAACCATCTGTCAAAGAAGCTTTCATGTGACTGAACTGTGTAGGCTTATGGCTGTGTCTATGTATATAGTTATTTACATTTTTGTTTTTATTTACTCTCAAAGTCTTCAGTGATTACTCAAAAACTCTGCTTTACAAGTAACATACCCTTTTTCCTCGTACAGCATGACACTCATATCCATTAGACTGATGTCTAAGGCTTCATTGATCTGTATCCAACAAACATGTCTTCTGTAGGCATTTTCTAAGTTCTCCAGCACATTGCTATGGTATTCTTGGGCCAGATATCCTTCATTTCAATAGGATTTTCCATTATCTACAATTTTGTATATTTGCACAAAATCCAGAAATATACCCCCTAACTTTTCAGGGAGGTTGTACTGCACTTTAGATTGCTCAGGACCCAACTAATGTTCAAGGTCAAATGTGTTCTCTGATTCCATTCATCACTACTACTTCTTTCCTTTTTGACAAAGAGCAACATATGGATGGAGCATACCATGGCCTGAATTAGTCTGAATTAAAGTAGTCACTAAATCTGTTAGGTTTACCTACTTTATTCATAATCAATTTATAACTGCTCTAACGATAAAAGTCCTATTTGGCCATCAATTCATTGCGTCTACTCCAGCTGGGACTATCCAGTACATTTCAGTTCTTTGTCATCTCCAGATAAATTCTTGGCAGTGTGTCAGCTTAAATCAATTTCTTGTACATCTATGTTCAGGAAGACACACACAGACACATGCTACGGCCTCTGCATCTGCAGGAGACATGTTCCTGAACTCACTGTGAAAACAGGAAACCTTGAATAATAACAAACCCAATTGCCATGGATGACTTTTGCCAGACGTGACTTCATAAGGATCTAGAAAATTCCTAGGAAGGTATCATTTTTAGAAATTTGCTACGTTTTCCAACTTCTGGTGGAAACATACTAGAATCCCCTGGAGGAYGCAGAAAATTCCTAGAGAGAACATATTTTGTATGATGTAGATAGGTGAAACCACAGGTAACGATATCGCAGTATTTGAAGGTGGGGGCATCTTATTGTATATACTACTGAGCACAATCCAAAGTGCTGACTTTAGCTTATAAAGCCCTAAGCGGTTCCAGCCCGGCTTACCTGTCCCAGCATATCTCCCTCTATGAACCATCCCGGAGGTTAAAATCTTCTGAGGAGGCCCTGCTCTCGTTCCCATCTCCTTCGCAAGTGCGGTTGGTGGGGACAAGAGACAGGGCCTTCTCAGTGGTGGCTCCTTGGCTCTGGAATCTCTCCCTACTGAGATTAGATCAGCGCCCTCCCTCTTGCCTTCAGAAAGAAAACAAACACATGGTTGTGGGACCAAGCCTTTGGCCAGTAAAGTAATGCAGTGCAAGAAATAAGTAGGGAATATGTGCAATTAACAATTTGGAATGGCTACAGTTTACGATTTTGGATCATGTGATTTGAATGTTTATACTAGGATGCTTTAATGCTTTGTTTTAATGTTTAAATGTTGCTTATGTCTTATGTTTAAAGATCTTAATTGTTATTATTATTATTATTACAGGTATTAATTGTTTTTAACTCACAGTTATGTATCATTGTTTAGATATTATGATTTTTTACATGTATGTCTGGCATTAAATTTTGCCATTAGTGTGTTGTAAACCACTTTGAGTCCCCTCCCCCCTTCCCGGGGCGAGAAAATCAGTATGTAAATACAGTAAATAAATATATAATACATATACACATATATTCTCTGCTACAGCAGCACATGGTTATTGTTTCAGTATTGTTCTGCATGAAATAGGGTCAAGAACCACAAGGCTTCCTATCCCCAGCCATAAGGGATTTCTGGTATTTGATGTTTTCTAGTTTGTTTTCAAAGATATTTACCTAGTATTACAAAAACTTGCACAATGTATGTTACTCCTCTTAGATTGTACTTACAAAGGCCAGCAAAATATAGACTTTTCAATAATGCTTTCTAAATAATCTTTTTCCTCTCAAGGCAATGATCCACTTATTAATGTCACTGCCAGTATAAATGAAAGACTGTATAGGTTGCAACATATATTTTTTCTTCTTCTTTAGGATGGATTTATTGACTTCTTGGAATTTATAGCTGCAATAAATCTGGTCATCCGAGGGAAAATTGACCAGAAGTTGAAATGGTATTTTAAGCTCTATGATGCTGATGGAAACGGAACTATTGACAAAAAAGAACTCGTAAGCATATTCACGGTAAGGAAATAGTATACATTTGCATACATTTCCAGTAATGCTTTCTGTCATAATTCAATTATTAAATATACCATGAAATTCAATTGTTTAAAGATATCCATGCTTTGATTAGTTCAATGACTATTTATTTAGACCAGAAGGGGGCAAACATGAAAAGTCTATGGGCCAACACTATCCGATTTTTCATCCCATTGGTTGTAGCCAACCCCTTTTACTATATAAAAACTGATTGATGGTTACCTCCACACACACACACACACACACACACACACACACACACACACATATATATATTCAAAAGAAATACTATTACATTGAAGCATTAAATGAAAGGCTTTTAAAGAAACCATTTTCTGTTTCTGGGCTTCTTATTTTTCATCAGTGGGGGTGGGAAAAGTCAGGGGACCCTGCAGGTCACACAATAAGTCTTTGAGACACAATTCCCATTGATGTTTTTGATCCACTCTCTTGGAGCATGGACCTGAACTGATATCTCCTACAACAGAGGTGGGGGGGGGGGGGGGGGGGGAGAGAAAGCATTTACCCAGGGCTGTTATTCTTTGGCATACTTGGGGAGACAATAGAGTCCCAACCTACTGGCAGAACCCACTATAGCTGATATCTCTGGCAGTTAAAGGCAAAATCCCCATCCTTAGAGTTCTGGAGTAGCAGTAAAAAAACAAAACAAAACTGGAATAGCCACTCATGGAGCAGGATGGAGTAACATCATTGGATGACATGGATGAAGGGTCCTACATTTTTCACTTTAAATAACAGAAATATGGGCAGCTGTCTTTTCCTCATACAATGTAATAGCAACGCCGCGAATTCATCCGCACAATGTCATCCTGATGGAATTCACCCAGGGTATGCTGTAAAGCAGAGCTTTCCAAATGTTTCATGTTGGTGACACACTTTTTAGACGGGCATCATGTCGTGATGCAGTAATTCAGCAAACTGAAGGTTAAACCAACCCCTTATAAGAGATATGGTTGAGAAGACCAGCTCTGGAAGCAATTTCTCAGCTCCAGTTAAGGAAATGTCAAACCTCCTCTGATTTAATCTAGCCAAGAAAATCCTAAGATAGGGTCACTATTAGCCAAAGTTGACTGGAAGAGACAGAACATCTGTAACAAAACTTCATAAAGGGGATGGGAAGTCTTTTGCAGACCTATGCCCAGTCCTAGCTGACTTCTAATGGTTGATGTTGTATGTCTTGAAGTCATTTCTAGATTTGGTTTTTGAATGTTATGAAATGTATATACATTAACTATCTCTTTGTCTAGAAAGTCATAGTGGTGCAGATGTTTGTGTTTTGGAAATATGGGAAACCAGAGTTTGAATCCTCACTTGATCTCCAAAGCCCTCAGGTGGCCTTGGACAAGTCACTTTCTCTCGCTGACAAACATTCTCTTCACAAATTTTGCTTTAAAAACCTTTAAGTCAGAAATGACTTAAAAGAAGACAACAACAAAGTGTTTTATAGTGTTGTATAGGGTTTTTTTAATTTGCATTTTATCACCTTTCATTTTTAGCCACCCTGAGTGGCATGTAAATATTGGGAAAGTAGTATATGTTTTGTATAAGGTAAAGGTAAAGGTTTCCCCTGACATTAAGTCTAGTTGTGTCTGACTCTGGAGGGTGGTGCTCATCTCCATTTCTAAGACAAAGAGCCAGCGTTGTCTGAAGACACCTCCAAGATCATGTGGCCAGCATGACTGCACTGAGCACTGTTACCTTCCCACAGAAGTTGTATCTATTGATCTACTCACACATGTTTTCAAACTGCTAGGTTGGCAAAAGCTGAGCCTAACAGAGGGAGCCCACCCTGCTCCCCGGATTTGAACTGCCAACCTTTCGGTCAGGAAGTTCAGCAGCTCAGAAGTTTAACTCACTGTGCCACACATGTTCTGTTTAAATTACATAAATATTCAATGTAGTGTCTCATTGTAACATCTACTGAACGTTTCGTAAAAGCCTATTCAATCTTTAAGAAAATGCACATCATATAGATGTCCTGGGATGGTTCTTACTGATTTAGTGTAGTCTTCCTTCTAATGTTCTAATTTAATATTTGAATGGTCATGTTTTGCATGATGCCTGCCATCATCTATATTGTGTCTGAAGAATCTATATTAGTGAGAATGAAGATATCTGTATTTAAATTGCTACCTTCTACTTCTTTCCCACGCAGACAAAGCAAAAATCTCTAAGGTACTTTTAGGGTGCTAGTGCTTAACTTATTGTGGTGCTCACTTCATTAGGAGGATTAAATCACACATAATTTTGTGAAGAGAAAAGTCACTTAAGCCTTCCTACCGCGTATGTACAGCTGTACAAGATAATCCTGAATTTTAAATAGTATAGAACATAGCTTAAATCTCCAAAGACCAAATTCTCCAGGGTATGATAAAAATGCAGCTATGTTTCAAAATAAATCACATGGGCTGAAAGGGCCTTTAATGATATGCAAATGAGATCATAATCCTTTAGTTTGCATTAACTTAATTTCCAGATTTCATTGCTGGAGATTTTACTGGGAAATCAAACCTGCTACTTCAACCTTATGCGGGATGGCAAAACCACTATCATTCCTGCAGTCAGTCCACATATTACGTGGGTTCATGCTACACAGGTTTAGTTATACGAGGGGCTGCTGATAAGTTTTTGGCTTTGTATTATTATTTTTTTGTTTCAATGGTAACGTATGTTACATCACATGAAAGCCTTATGTGTCTAATATATATTTTCAAAATTTCATGTTTGTAGCTTATGGCAACAGTGATCTAGGCACGTGGGAAAACAAAATGGCGGAGTCTAAGGCAATATTCACAGCAAATGAGAGCAGATGATAAAATTCTTGTTTCTGCAAGGAAAGTCCATGAAGGATATTCATGGTGATATGTTGCAGACATTGGGGGATCAATGACCTTCATATTCCACAGTTAAAAACTGGGTTGCCAAATTTAAAATGGGCCAATTCATCACCAATGATGAGGAATGTCCTGGACAACCGAGAGTGGTTGCTGTTCCGGAGATCATCGATGCTGTGCACAGCCTCATACTGGAGAATCGGCGAATTTCAGCTAAAGGAATAGCAGATATCATGGGGATTTCTCGTGAATGTGTTGTGTCATTATCCATGAACATTTGAACATGAAGAAGGTATCTGCAAAGTGGGTCCCCAAATGTTTAACAACAGATCAGAAAAGCATTCGAGTGAAAATTTCCCAATCAATTTGTCAGCATTCCTGGACTGATAAGAACTTCCTGGATTGACTGGTCACTATGGATAAAACCTGGAACTATTTGTATGACCCTGAAACCAAGGAACAGTCAAAAGAGTGGAGGCACAGTGGTTCTCCTTGTCCAAAGAAGTTCAGGGTACAAAAATCAGACACTAAGGCGATGCTGTCTGTGTTCTGGGATAAGGAGGGTGTTCTGCTAGTGGACTTCCTTCAAAATGGTTCAACCATCAATGCAAGATATTACACTGAACTTTTGGACCAATTGAAGGCAGCTCTGAAGGCCAAAAGGTGCTGCAAGCTGTCCAAAGGAATCTTGTTCCTGCAATACAATGTATCCACTCACACTGCACAAGCGACCATGGCAAAACCGGTGGAGCTAGGCTTCCAGTTGGTTGACCACCTACCTTATTCACCGGATCTAGCTCCCTCCGACTATCATCTGTTTCCAAACCTGAAGAAACACCTCAAGGGTACCGAATTTCACACCATTTCTGATGCCATGGCTGCTACAGATGACTGGTTTGAGCCACAACCGAAATCCTTCTTTTTGCAAGGCTTACAGAACTTGGAATACCGATGTAAGAAGTGTGCTGATATCAGTGGAGAGTATGTGAAATAAATTTAAAGTTTCATCTTTTTGTCTTGTTTCTTTCTGGATAAAGCCAAAGACTTATCAGCAGCCCCTCGTACATGAACATTCGCTTCATGGATAACAGCAGTCAGGGAAGGGGCTGCTTTCAGTAGCTCAGCTCAGATAGCCCGCACCCCAATGTGTGAGTCTTCCTTCTAACTAATGTTTCCTTGGTGAAGTAGCAGCTTAGTCAAGGTGGGGTGGGGATATTTTGATTCTGCAGTATTTTGAGCTTTCAGTTGTGGCAGAGGGGGACCCAACCGGCAGAACCTGCACCCAGAAAGAATGTTCCAGACTTTGCATGGAATGCAACCCCTACAAGACGTGGACATATTGGATTTGTAATGTTTGCTTTGTTTTGTCTCCAGGCTATTCAAGCTATTAATGGCAACCAAGAGCTGTCTCCTGAAGATTTTGCAAATGTAGTATTCCAGAAGATAGATGTAAACAATGATGGTAAGATTACATCTTCCTATGCATGGATGAAACTTTCTCACTTGTGTCCAAAATCTCTGCATGTGCAGCACAGGCTTGAGAAACATGTCAAATTTATCCCTGTATCATTAGCCCAGCCTGTATAGAAAGAGATTTCAGATCTGGTAGCAGCCATGGACTCCCTTTCACCTGAAGGAGGTCTATGAATTCATGCAGAACTCTTTCATGAACCAGTTGAATGCATAGGACTAAGATCTTATATTGTCTCAATGTGGCATAAATATCCACTGGCAGAGTTACACTACACTGGTGCTAAGCAATCTCTGTCCAAAATACTACTATAGCACATCATATGAACAATGCAATCTACCACTTGATTGCAGTGTGTAATGCACATGGATGCCCTATTCTAATGCATTATTACACATCAGCTACAGTTCCAACACCTGCTAAGTATATCTTGTTCTGTATTATCCAAAAGCCAGCCCATATCTGGGTGACAATTTATGCCTGTATATGTTGCAAATAGGATCCTGGCCATGCACAGGATACAGGATATGACCAACATGGTCTCATAATACACTACACATTATGAAGAGAATGATTTAATCTTACAGGTCATGCAGAACTAGATGGGTGGAGTCCCATAAAACATTTTACTTAGACTACAGTACTTTTTTTTTATTAAGGCACTTCAACTATTTGGTAATTTCCATAATCATTTGCGGGGGGTTTTCAGATCATTTCTTTGACAAACTACTGTACTACACAGATATGAACCATTTGATAATTTAAGGTCCCATCTTTACACTGTCATATAATGCAGATTCAGAATATAGATTAACAGTTGAATTGTATTATATGGCAGTGTAGACTCATGTAATCCAGTTCAATCTGCATTATATGAGACTAGGTTAAGGTAAAGGGTTTCCCCTGACATTAAGTCCAGTCGTTTCCAGCTCTGGAGGTTGGTGCTCACCTCCATTTCTAAGCCGAAGACCGGCGTTGTCTGTAGACACCTCCAAGGTCATGTGGCCGGTATGACTACATGGAGAGCCATTACCTTCCCACCGTAGTGGTACCTATTGATCTACTCACATTTGCATGTTTTCGAACTCCTAAGTTGGCAGAAGCTGGGACTGACAGCGGAAGCTCACACCACTCCCCATATTCGAACCTGTGACCTTTTAGTCAACAAGCTCAGCAGCTCAGCGGTTTAACTCACTGCTCCACCAGGGCTCCGTATATAAGTCTACACTGACCATTATAATGCAGATCATATGGCAGTGTAGATAGGGCCTAAATGTTCCTCCCACTTCCTACATTGATTTTCTCAAGCCCAATGAATATTTTATATAAAGTCATAGTAGTTCTCCCCAATTTTGAAGTTTCAAAACATGTGATAATTTGAAACATTTCAGTCTTTAGCCATGGATCTCAGCTGTTAACCTCTAGATTGTTTGGACTTCAACTCCCTAATATGGTCCATGGTCAGGAACTCTGGGAGCTGAAGTCCAAAACATCTGAAGAATCAGAGGTTTAGATCCACTAGTTTTAGTCATTTATGCCGATTCCTAAATGTTTGTGCTTTCATTCCAGGGGAACTGACTTTAGACGAGTTCATTAATGGAGTGGAAAGTGACCAACACCTCCTAGAAATGATTTCAAAGAGCTTTGACCTTTCCAATGTACTGAAAGTTATACAAAGTGGGAGAAGACATAGCATCTGAGACTTTCATACTGCGAAGAGGACTTGTAATGAAAGAACAATGCAAGGGACCTATTCAGTATCAACACAAAACGTTACTTTTTCTATCTACTGTTTAAAACATAAGAAGTTCCAGGTGGAGTTGTCACATAGACAAGTCTGTCATCTGTTTTTCCCATTCCTCCGAGTGGACGTGATAGCCCATGCAAGAACACTGAATCTTGTCTACTTACATCTCAAAAACTATTTGGTTTGATACAAAGCACTACCTATTAGCACCCCTAATGAGGGGAAACCCTTGGTTTTAAAAAAAAGTGGACCTTTCTGGAAGATACAGAGCTGACAAATTCTTCTAAGTACTGTTTGTTTAACTTGCAGTTTACAATGTGGCGATAAATCAGTAGATAGGATTGGCTTCCTTCTAGATCAATTAAGGATGAGAGATGGTTTGCATTAACTTAACATTTGCACTAATCAGTGCTTAAAATAGAGATGGATTATCTGGACAACACCTCAATCCTCTTATGGGTCCAAAGACAAATATCCACTCGGGAAAGCTGTTTATCACTTTGGTATTCTTATTAATACATCTGTACTTTAATGTGACTTAAGACTTTGATGTTTCATCTCATGTACTTTTCCCTTTTTTATTTAATATTGTTATTATGAATAATGCATTCCTTTTTTAAAAAAATATTTAACCTTTTTAGAGAAGCTTTACATTTGTCATGGTGTGACACCATAGATAGGGAAAATAATTAAAACTCCAGAGGAAGTGAAAATGCAAGAACTTTAGTGATCAAAGATTAATTTGACTTGAAAAGATAATTGTGCTAAATGTGTTAAAAGCAGCCTAGGTTCCATTCTTCCATTGTTCATAACCATAAAAACATTTTTTTAATATAAATTTCTATTCAATTGACCATACGTTGCAGTGAGGAATGAATACCTTAAAGTTTGCTTAGATTGTAGTATTCCATGATCCAGGATTTGACAGTCCTGGAAGAGATGTTTTCCTCAAACCTTTTTGTCTTGTTGGATCTCGTCTGGCATCCCATTACTCTTGAAGTGCTAAAAAAATGGATGGAAAATTCAAGTTTTTTTAATGGGCTAGGAGCCAAGGAATTGAGCTAAAAGTACAATACAGAAGATATTAAATATCTATAGGAAATCAGTTTCGCATTCACAGGATTGATAATTTGGGGAAACAATCAGTTATGTGACTGGACTCTGAGAAAGAGTCATACAGTACTGAAGAATGGTACTGTCACCCAAATCTCTTAAAAGGTGCAGCTTTAGAGACACGACCAGCAAAGCAACTGAGAGTTTCTTGCTCTGAGAAAGAAAACTTTATTTTGAAAAAAACTAAAATGAGGTAGAAGAATACAGAGAATTGGAGCTCCCAGTGATGCTTCCAAAAGGGAGGGACCCTGAGCAGTGGCAGTACATTTGCTTTTATAGTTTCACAGTGCTGTGCTACCCTTTTGGGACATCATTCAATCATTCTCAGACTCAATTAGTTAAAAGACGATCAGGTCCATGTCCCCTGACCTGTACCTTCCCTTCATCTAGTTCAGTGGTTCCCAACCTTTATTTGACCAAGGACCACTTTGACCAGGGACCACTTGAACAAGGACCACATTGACCAGGGCCATTCTCCAACATTAGTACCAAAAGGGTTACGAATCATTCCATTCCATTGAATAGACCACATCAGCTCTAGTTTCTGATACAGAACACATGCCATCCAGTAGTCGCCATCTGCTCATCCACAGAAAACCATATTTAATAATCTTGAGCTGATGTGGTAGTAGTAATCTTCCTTGGGTAGTCAGCCTCTCCTGACATCCCTGTTGCCTCAGCACTATAAGAGGGTTTCGCGAGACCAGTCACTCTTTCTGCCATGTGTTTTTGAGGCAACAGTGTAGTAATGGTGAGACCACAGACCATATTTTTGTTCTTGGGGACCACTGGTGATCCACAGACCACAGGTTAGGAATTATTGGTCTAATTCTTATCAGTAGGAACTCTTCATCCCAAACTCACCATGTGCAAGGCTAGTAGTGCTGACACCAATGAGGCAGGGGAGGGTCTGGCAAGCCTCCGCTTATCAAGGCCATCTGTGTCTAGCAGGGTGGGTTACGGGGTGCTCACAGTACAATGAGAACAGAGAAATAAAGTAGAGAAGTGGCCTTGTTTTATGTTTAGGCAAAAACTAAGAACTCCCATACTGGATAAATTTTGCAGAAAGATGGACAGAAGTATCTACAACTTTCACCATATTTCAAATCTGTTTTTAAATCCATTCAGTGAGCTGAAGTTGATGCAAAATAGTTTATTACAACTGAGGAATAAAAGGGAAATATCAATAATTAATTATTAACCTCTGTTTCTGTAGATTCATTTGATCTTTAATTTTATACAGAATATATCATACTGTTTGTAATTACCTGTGGACAGATCTTTGCCCCCCCCCCCCCCAATTGAATAATGGATAGGAATGCTTATATTTTTCACGCTTATTCAACATAGATCTATTATCTGTGTCAATGTTTTCCCAACAGGAGAATATATCTGTTGTGGAGAAAGGAGGTTAACAAAGGGATTAAATAAATAAATGGAGTTTTCCATAGCCACAATGCCTATTCCATTCAAATGAATGGTGATTTTATAGTGTCAGAAATAGTTTTGTTTTTTTTTAAGAGAATGTGCAATAGTTCTGTTAATGACCTAGGTGAAATTACATTAATTTTTGACTTTCATATATTTGACACAAGTGGTAGGAGTTGAAAATGACAGTGAGGATGGAAAATGCAATATGGCCAACTCATAAAATGTATTTATTTTTCATATATGCAACTTTCGTAGGCAGTTAACCAATTGTCAAAAGTAGTATCGCACCAATAAAGACATTCGTTATTATTATGATTATTACTATGTTTATTTATACCCCACTTTTTCTCTCCACAAAGGAGATTCAAAGTGGCAAACGTATATTGTTTATTTGTTCAGTCGCTTCTGACTTCGTGACCTCATGGACCAGCCCATGCCAGAGCGCCCTGTCGACTGTGGCCACCCCCAGCTCCTTCAAGGTCAAGCCAGTCACTTCAAGAATAACATCCATTCATCTTGCTCTTGGTTGGCCCCTCTTCCTTTTTCCTTCCATTTTCCCCATCATAATGGTCTTCTCCAACCTTTCCTGTCTTCCCATTATGTGGCCAAACATATAGAGTACAGCAAGATTAAACAGTAGAATTTAAAACCAGTAAAGAATCCACCAGTTAAAACTTTCCATACTAAAAACCTCAGGTAGAAAAAAACCCAGCTTCATGTGGTGCCAAAAGATTGTTAAAGAAGTTGCCAGATTTCCAAATGACGAACCTAGAAGAGACTACAAATGTCTAGTGTATGACATTTTAATATTATTCTTATAGTAAATCTTCCTCTTCGAGAAGCACATATACTTTTCAGCATGACAATGTCACATCAGCAGAGACTCTCTAGCATTTTCAAGGCAGACAGATGTATTTTGGATCAGTATTGATGCAAAGTTCAGTTTGGTTATAAGAAATAATAATAAATTAAAAACTTTATTTCTAGACAGCCCTCTCTCCCCAAAAGGACTCAGGGCAGTTTACACATTCAATGCCTCAAAATATGCACAGACACATCAAAATAATACAAAATAATGGAGAATAACAACACAAAACTTACAACAAAGGAATTAAGTAGAGCACTTTTTATATATATCGCAAACTTCATGTGAAAGATCAGGTAAGTACTAGGTTGAAGTTGTAATCTTACACACAGGAGTACACCCCACTGAACTCCACAGTGGGTCATTCTGTAGACTATGTTTACTTTCATTAGAAATATACTGGATTTGAATGGAGGCTTTCTTTGCAAAGCACATGGCAAGCAGAGGACATTTGCTGGATCAAAACTATATGGGGAGAAGGCAAGAGTTTAAAGATCCTTGCCCCTGTCTTCGTTGGTTACTTATCCAAATTGTGCCCCTGTTCTGCTAACTTGTAAAACAATAGGACAACAGAAAGAAGATCAGATCTGACATTAATGGAAAACCCAAGGTATTATAAGAAATCCTGGTTGAATGAATACTGTATCTGCATCCTTCTTTTGGGCATTGCTTTTAAAGTACAGGCAGTCTCCAGGTAACGAAGAATATAGGTTCTGTAGGTTTGTTCTTACGTTGAATTTGTATGTAAGTAGGAACAGGTACATTTTAAGTGTATCTCCAGCTATTTATTTTATTTATTTACACTATTTATATTTTGCCCTTCTCACCCCGTGGGGGACTCACAGCGGATTACAATGCACTTATACATGGCAAATATTCAATGCCATTAGACATACAATATATATAGACAGACACAGAGGCAATTTAACATTCCAGCTTTCCAGCTTCATGAGGGTATATTCAATTCTGGCCACAAGGGGAGCCACCGCTTCACCGTCCACTTGTGACACCGAGTTCTTGATGGAGTACTTCCTCATTCTTACGCATGCTGCTGGAGGTTTTTATGGTGTCATAAATTAGTTAAATTATCTTCCCCACATAAAACGGTACCTAAATTTCCTACTCAACAGCAAGCTAGACTATTAATGTTCGGGAGCTCACTCCGACCTGGGCTGACTTCGAACTCATGACCTCTTGGTCAGTAGTGATTTAATGCAGCTGGCTACTAACTAGCTGCACCACGGCCCGGTCCTATCTAAACTATCTATCTATCTAAACATACACATAAACAGATACACATAAACACACAAAAGCTTTAGATTGCATAGAGAAGGTTTAACACCTCATGTGGTGTTTGTTTAGCTGTCCATGTCCCTGTTCAGAAGATTTCACCTCACTTTCTGTCCCTGTGATAATTGAATTTTGAAAAATTGAACTTGTTGTGGAATCAAGGATTGGAGATAAAGCTTCAGTGGAGACGCCATTTCTCCCATGAAAACTCTTCCAGGAGTGAATTTCCCTTCCGAGGAGTAGATTTCTCTCACTTCCTGTTGTCTCATCCCTGTTCTTAACTATGAGTTGTTTCTAAGTCGTATGCTTGTAACTTGGAGACTGCCTGTAAATATTTTATGTTTTCATACATTTTCTATGTCAATACATATTTTGTTTGGAACGTTGGGAAAAGTAGCAAGTGTGAGTAAAAAGGATGGCCTTGACCCCTTTGTTTTTGTATTAAATAGACCCTTAATTTTGCTGTTGCTATGAGCACAAAGTGAAAAATAAATGTATTATTCTCCAAGGATGATCTAATAATCAAGGTTATTATTGCTTGTGAATATGCATGTTCTTTTTGTTGGAAGTGAAAAACCTTTACACTTGTGTACAGACAATTTAGGGGCAGGGAATCCCAGACAAAAATCTTGCTACCCCCCAATTCCTTCCAAGCTTGTTGCTTTCTGCCCAAATGTAGAGGCAACTCATCCATTTCTTCCTAGATGTTTTAACATTGTATGATCCTTTGTCTGAGATACAAGCAAGCATGGGACTCCTGCCTCTGGATGGCACACAATACACATGACAGCCAGGTTTTAGTAACTCTTGTACCAAAAGTATAGAAACTCTTGTCTACTTTTCTATCCCAAAAATAGATTTCCTGAAGCAATAAACACAAGTTTTACTTTTTTTCAGCCTTACCAACGTGTCCTACATATTTTCTCTCCTGTCTCCTACCACGAAGCCAATATATAGTAGTCCCTGTGCTGCTCTCTGCCTTTGATATAGTTATCAAATTTCTCTACACTGTAGAATTAATGCAGTTTGATACTTTAAGTGATACAGCTCAGTGCTATGGAACCCTGGGAGTTGTAGTTTGATGAGGCACCTTAGAATCATAGAGTTGGAAGAGAAATTGTGTGTCATCCAGTCCAACCCCCGCCAAGAAGCCGGAAAATCACATTCAAAGCACCCCCGACAGATGGCCATCCAGCCTCTGTTTAAAAACCTTCAAAGAAGGAGCCTCCATCAAACTACAGGGCAGAGAGTTCCACTGCTGAACAGCTCCCACAGTAAGGAAATTCTTCCTAATGTTCTAGTGGAACTCCTTTCCTGTAGTATGAAGCCATTGTTCCGCGTCCTAGTCCCCAAGGCAGCAGAAAACAAGTTGCTCCCTCCTCCCTATGATTTCCACTCACATATTTATACATGGCTAACGTGTCTCCTCTCAATCTTCTCTTCTCCAGGCTAAACATGACCAGCTCTTTGAGCTGCTCCTCATAGGGCTTGTTCTCCAGACCCTTGATTATTTTAGTCACCCTCCTCTGGACACATTCTAGCTTGTTGACATCTCCCTTCAATTGCGGCACCCAGAATTGGATACAGAGGGGTAGCATGACTTCTCTGTATCTAGATCAAGTATGGGCAAACCTAGGCCCAGGGGGTGGATGCAGCCCCTTGGGCTCCTTTCTCAGCCTTCCTCTCTCTCATCTTCCTATCCTTCCTTCTTTCTCTCTTTTCTTCCTCCTTCCCTCCCTCTTTCTCCCTCCTTCCTTCCATTCCACCCCTATGTTCTTCCTTCCTCCTTCCATCCCTCCCTCTTTCTCCTTCCATCCTTCCCTTCCACTTTTTCAACCTTCTTTCTCTCCCTCTTTCTCCTTCCTTTTGTCCTTCCTTCTTTTTCCTTTATCTTTCTCTTCCACCTTTCCCTTCCTTACTTCCATCCTTCATTTCCACCCTTTCAACCTTCCTTCCTTCCCTTTGGTCTTTCCTTCCCTCATTCCTCCCTCCTTCCCTTTCACCCTCTTTCTCCTTCCATCCTTTCGTCCTTCCTTCCTTCCCTCCTTCTCCTTCCTTCCTTTTTGTCTTTTCCTTCCTTCTCTTTCCTCCCTCGCTCTTTCTCCCTTGCTCCATTCCCTTCCACCCTTTCGTACTTCCTTCTTTCTCTTTCCTTCCTCATTCCCTTCCTTTCCTTCCACCTTTTTGTCTCTTTCCTTGCCTCCCTTTTGTCTTTCCTTCCTCCTTACCTCCCTCCCTTATTCTTCTTCTTCCATCCCTTCTTTCCTTCCCTCTCTCTCGCTTTCTCCTTCCCTCCTTCTTTTTCCTTTCTCCTTCCCTTCCTCCTTCCTTTTTTCCATCCATTCCTTCCCTCTTTCCACCTTTATTATTATTATTATTATTATATAACTTTATTTGTACCCCGCTAGCATCTCCCAAGGGATTCGATGCGGCTTACAACGGGCCGAAGCCCACACAATACAACAATACAACAATACAGTACCTAGCAAATAAAAACAGTTAAGCAAAAACAATAACAAAAGCAGTACAACAAGACATTATTAAAACTGAGCCGGCCAGAGTAGGGGTACAGGATTAAAAGTGCTGATGTGTCGGAGGGATATGGGATTATAGTATAAGTGCGGTGTGCGGTGATCTTGGTTCTAACTAAAGTGCTTCTGGGATTTGGTACTGGGGTTCCTAGTCTGAAAAGGCACATTGGAACAGCCAGGTTTTCAAATTCTTCCTGAAGACTGCCAATGTAGGGGCTTGTCTGAGGTCTTTCGGGAGGGCATTCCAGAGGCGGGGGGCCACCACAGAGAAGGCCCTGTCTCGTGTCCCCACCAAGCGCGCTTGTGACGCGGGCGGGATCACGAGCAGGGTCTCTCCAGATGACCGGAGTGAACGTGTGGGTTCGTAGACAACGATACGGTCACGCAGGTAGGGTGGTCCCAAACCGTTCAGGGCTTTGTAGGTAAGCACCTGCACCTTAAATTGGGCTCGGAAAATAAACGGCAGCCAGTGGAGCTCCTTAAACAGGAGGGTTGACCTCTCTCTGTAGTGGGCCCCAGTTAACATCCTGGCTGCTGCCCATTGGACCAATTGGAGTTTCCGAGCCGTTTTCAAGGGCAGCCCCTTCCATCCCTTTAGTCTTTTTCCTTCCTTCCCTCTTCCCTCCCTCCTTCCACCCTTCCCTTCCACTTTTTCATCCTTTCTTCTCTCCATTTCTCCCTCCCTCCCTTTTATGTATCCTTCCTTTATCCTTCTCTTCCTCCCTTTCAACCTTAGTTCCCTCTTTCCTCCCTCCTTTCCTTTTTCCCTTCCTCCTTCCATCCCTCCCTCTTTCTCCTTCCATCCTTCCCTTCCACTTTTCCTTCCTTCCTTCCTTCTCTCCCTTTTGTGTATCCTTCCTTTTTGCTTTTTCCTTCTCTTCCTCCCTTCCCTTCCTTCCCTCCTTGGAGAGAGTGCTAGCATGCGGCCTCCAAGTTAGAAAGTTTGCCCATGCCTGATGTAAATACTCCTATTTATGAAGGCCTTGTAATACTACAACTCCCAGGAATCCATAGCTTTGAGGCAGGGCAGTTAAAATAGTGTCAAAGGTGTATTAATTGTACAGTGGCTGTGAAGCCTTTGTGTCACCGGAGGAGGGAACCGAGCTTTAGGGAAGGTACCCAATCGAATCAAAGGCTCCTCTCTTTCCTCCCGCTGATTGGGCGCTCTGCTTTGAATGACGTGCGCAGCCACGAATCGGGTAGCGTAAAGGACCACGCGCTCCTGCGGGATTGGGAGAGCGCGGGATTTGAATCGGAGGAGGGCGCTGCATTCTCCGGCGCTGAGGGGACGGAAGTGAGGAATGGCGCGACTCCGGAGGGCGCGGAGCAGACCGGGAAGGGAGTCCGGCGCGGGCCTGTGAGGCACCCCGGGAAGGCCACGCCATGGACCGGCGGAGAAGGCGCAACCGGAGGAGGTTCGTGGCCACCATGAGCGCCATCATGGAGAAGGTGAGGCCCGTCGTGATGGGAAAAGCAGGGCCTGAGGCCTGGCTGCGTGTCTGGGCCCCTCAGAACTCACCCTTCCTCGCTTCTGAAGCGCCTCGGCCTTTGCTTGAGTCCCTGTAACAGGAGACTCTTTTCTGTGCCGTTACACTGTGGAGTTAATCCACTTTGATACCGCTTTAACTATGGAATCATGGGCGTTGCAGTTTTGCAAGGCCTTTTGCCTTCTCTGCCAAAGAAGGCTGGGGCCTCAACAAACTACAACTCCCAGGATTCCGTTGCATCCAGCCGTAGCTGTTAAAGCAGTGCCAAACTGCGCTAATTCTACAGTGTAGACCATGCATGGGGAAACTTGGGCCCTCCAGATGTTTTGGACTCCAACTCACACAATTCCGGATTGTGGGAGCTGCAGTCCAAAAACACCTGGAGGGCCCAAGTTTGCCCATGCCTGCTGTAGATGGACCCGAGCTTTGCTTGTTTGAGTTGCACAAGTAATTTATGTATTTTTGAACAACAATCCTCCATGAATTTGAGGCATTTCTGGGCATCCTAGTCCCTCCCTTATTGTCTGGTGTGCAATATGAGGGGGGGGGGGATATACAGGTTCCATCCACATCCAAAGCTGTCATCAATCTTCACCAAACTAGAGAATTAATCTACTTTAAATCCGGTTTCTGCCTTCTGCAGAATTCTGGGGTTTGTAGTTTAGTGATGCTGTTAAGTCTCCTCCCTAAACTACAAACTCCAGAATTCTGCAGGAGGAAGCAAATGAATATAAAGTGGATTCATTCTCTATATAAAGTGGATTCATTTCAGCTTTGGCTGAAATAATGATACCTTATTTTTATTTGTTTGTTTACTTTTATCTCCTTTTCCTCCTGATATAGCAGGCATGGGCAAACTTGGGCCCTCCAGGTGTTTTGGACCTCAACTCCCACAATTTTGCTGTTAGGAATTGTGGGAATTGAAGTCCAAAACACCTGGAGTGTCCAAGTTTGCCCATCTTTGTGATATAATATTGTTAATAGTACAATGTAATGCAATATAATAGTAATAATACAATATAACAACTGTAAATTATATATTTCATGTAATATTGCTAATAATATTGCAGTATAGTGGTGTAGTACAATATAGTCATATATAATACTAATATTGTGCTATGCTAATAATATATATTGTATGTACATATTATATTGATCATGATGTTGTAATACAATATAGTAACAATACAATATAACAACTGTATATTATATATTTCATGTAATATTGCTAATAATATTGCAGTATAGTGGTGTAGTACAATATAGTCATATATAATAATATTGTGCTATGCTAATAATATATATTGTATGTACATATTATATTGGTCATGATATTGTAATACAATGCAATCATAATATAATTGTATAATATATAATATTGTTCATGATGTTGTAATACAATATAACAAGAATAATACAGCATAATAATATAATAATTATATATTACATGTAACATTACTAATAATGTTGCAGTATAGTGGTATAGTATAATATAGCAATATATAATACTAATTGTGCCCTGCTAATAATATATTATATGTACATATTATATTGATCTTAATGTAATACAATGTAATAGAAATAATAATAGAATATAATAATTATATATTACATGAAATATTTCTAATAATATTGCAGTACAGTGGTATAGTACAGTAAAGTAATATATATATTATACTAATCTTGTGTTATGCTAATAATATAATATTTTGTATGGACATATAACTTGTAAGCCGCTCTGAATCCCCTTCAGGGTGAGAGAGGGCAAGGTATAAATATAGTAAATAAATAAACTAATAAATAGAGTCTCAATAATAATAAACTTTATTTCTATCCCGCCCTATCTCCTCAAGGGGACTCAGGGCGGTTTACAACATACAGCAGCAAATATCCCATGCCGTACATAAAGTGCTATCAAAAAAGCGAGTAAACAATCCTAAAACAGATAATCAACATCAAATCATGGTGAAACATTACTATAGATTATGTAAAACATGGCTAAAAGTCATGTGGACAAAACATCAGGAGTGAATGCTTCTGGAACATGGTCATACAGCCTGGAAAACTCACAGCAACCCAGTGAATCTGGCCATGAAAGCCTTTGACAACACATAGTACATTCATTACATAAATCCTATTTATGATATGGAAAGTAACACTTGGCTTTCTGATGGATGGTTCAGTGTCCATAGCCTTTGTTTCACATGTATAAAATTATCCTCAGGATACATGTAAGGGGGTTAATGAAGCATAGGTGCATTTCATGCTTACACTTAAGTCTCATCTGCAAGAGATCTCATTATATACACCTTGTAATTACTATCTCTGTGTAATGTAGAAGTTAACTATCCTGTAACACTGGTGTGTTTTTGTTTTTCAAACCTAGTACAATGTCCCCTTTGACGATGATATGCTTGTCTCTATCAAATCATTGACTTACTCTACACTTGATGGTAAGTTTGATTTGACTGCAGTTTAATTTTCATTGGATTTTCATTCTATGTGATACAACAGTATTCTGAAACCCATGGACACTATGTGAATTTAAATGAAAATACCTTAAGTTTTGTTAAAACATGCAGTAATCTTATTCCAGTGCACCAATATGTGTAGCCTTGAAGTTCCTTCTTTTCAAAGTCATTCCTATAACATCTGGGAAGGAGGGAACTGCAAAAACTGCTTCATTATGTAAAAATATTTTATAGCAACATGTTCTCATATTCAAAACTTGAGGCAAAGAATTGGAAAGAATGCTAAACTCTTGGTACAGTTATAATGCTAATTTTTAAATAAAAAAATAACATAGGTATATTTTTCTTCTTCATGGTAGTGATATAAGGAAAGTAGTCACAACTGGCAATTAGAAATTGATCTGAGTTCTAGAAACTCTGAATCCTTTGCTGTCATTTACAATAACAGAACTCTTGGGGTACTCAGGTTCGGTTCAGACATGAAACTAGGAAACTACTCGTTTCTAGTGTGAGATTAAACTTCATTTTTCTGATTCATATGTCTTCATACAAGATTGTGAATTCTATCATAGTCTGGAATGATTCATGAAAAGAAAATAATATTAACCCTATAGAGAAGATAGTATTAGATTTTCTTTTAAATGAACCGTCATTTTGGATTGTGCTTAGCTCTCGCTTTAGTAGTTCTGACAAGGGCGTAATTGTCTCACATACATCAGTGTTGTTGAGCGAGTGGGCTTAATAACAAAAGACCCTCTTCATAAATGTCCAGCAGAGTAACTTAGAAGCAGCAGCGTGACCCAACAACAGTAGCCCAAAGTGATAAAAAGAACAAAAACACACAGACCAATCTTATCTCTTCTATAGGAGGCTTTTCTTTGTAGTAAAATAATATAGTAGCACTATTTATAATAACAAGGTTTTCACAACACAAATAAAGTCTTTTATACTCTATTCTTTGCTTCTTCCTCATGCAGATAAACAGCCTCGCTCTCACAGCCTCTTCTCACAACTGGAGCTTCACACAGTAGCTTTTTACACACAGCAGCCTTTATACTGGAGCTTTACACATGAGGCTTGACAAGGCCTTCAACCTGGAGCTTCTCACACCAAAGCTTCTCTCACAGACTGAGAGCCCTTCCACACAGCCCTATATCCCAGAATATCAAAGCAGAAAATCCCACAATATCTGGGTTATCTGAATCCACACTCAGATAATGTGGGATTTTCTGCCTTGATATTCTGGGATATAAGGTTGTGTGGAAGGGCCCTGAGACCTTTCTCCCACTGAGGTTTACCTCAAACTGACGACTACTAAGTTACAGGCACACCTGCTTATGTAGAACTGAGGCTTTTGCTAAGACATATCCATTTAACCCTTTCAGTGCCTGACTCAGATTTTTTAAAATAAAAATATCTAGTTAAATGAATGTTTCAGACAAGTGTTTGCTATGCACTCCTAGATGAAAAATAAAAAGTTGCATTTTGCGTAACTTTTCTCACATTTGATAATGGTGTCTCTAAGCGTGAAACAAACAGAGGCACACTATAACCAAGCACTCCACCAACAGGTCCTGTCAATATTTGAAACCTTCTGCTTGAACACTGCATTCATGATGATAATAGGCAGTTTCCAGTATTGTATCGTACTCTCTCATGACCAGGAAGCAAGACTAGACTAGTTTGGGGGAGGACATAGTGATATTGCATGAGTGTATTCAGTAGTATGCAGAACGTTAATGGCATTTAGCACTTCTGTCTCCTGTTACTCTTATTGAGCATAGCACCATGTTTGTTTAACAAAATTGTATATAAATGACAATATTGTAATGATTTTTGTTTTATTTCTAGGGGAAAAGGTTTGGGGAGAAGAGTCAAGCTCTGAAATTATAGGTCGATCTTGTAAGGTATTTAAAAAATGTGTAACTGGCAATGAATATATTCTTATGCATCCAATTTCTAGGTAATACTGTATTCTGTGTTGTGATAATGTTGAGAAATGAAAAAACATGTCTGGAACCATACATGTTGGTCTACATGGTACTTGTTATTCTATTATTATTTTTACTATGAAAAACTGCAGCATGCCTTCAGAGGAAAAAATTGGGTTTCTCATTATCTTTTAAATGCAAACTGAATAATATAACCCCAAAACACGTGCAATCTGTACAGAATTAGTTGACCTGAACACTTTTGTAAACAGGCGACTTTAACTTGGTACTAAAATAACTCTAGAGGGAAGGTATTCCACAACCAAGTTGCAACTGCAGAAAAAGGCCTTCTCCTATAGAATCGTAGAACCATAGATTTGGAAGAGACCTCATGGACCATCCAGTCCAACCCCCAGTCAAGAAGCAAGAAAATCACATTCAAAGCACCCCCGACAGATGGCCATCCAGTCTCTGTTTCAAAGCCTCCAAAGAAGGAGCCTCCACCACACTTCAGGGCAGAGAGTTCCACTGCTGAACATCTCTCACAGTCAGGAAGTTCTTCCTAATGTTCAGATGAAATCTCCTTTACTTTGAAACCACTGTTCAGTGTCCTAGTCTCTAGGGCAGCAGAAAACAAGCTTGCTCCCTCCTCCCCTTATGACTTACCCCCACATATTTATACACGGCTGTCATGTCTCCTCTCAGCCTTCTCTTCTGCAGACTAAACATGCCCAGTTGTTTAATTCACTCTTCATATGACTTGTTCCCCATACCCTTGATAATTTTAGTCACCCTTCTCTGTCACCCTGTGGGAAGTTTCTTATCAACAAGATGCAGAATGGGTTGTTGTAGGTTTTCCGGGCTATATGGCCATGTTCTAGAGGCATTTTCTCCTGACGTTTCGCCTGCATCTATGGGAAGCATCCTCAGAGGTAGTGAGGTCTGTTGGAAGTAGGAAAATGGATTTATATATCTGTGGAAAGACCAGCGTGGGACAAAGGACTTTTGTCTGCTGGAGCTAGGTGTGAATGTTTCAACTGACCACCTTGATTAGCATTTAATGGCTTGGAAGTGCCTGGGGGAATCTTTCTTTGAGAGGTGATTTGATGTGCCTGATTGTTTACTCTCTGTTGTTTTGCTGTTGTAATTTTTGAGTTTTTTAATACTGGTAGCCAGATTTTATTCATTTTCATGGTTTCTTCCTTTCTGTTGAAATTGTCCACATGCTTGTGGATTTCAATGGCTTCTCTGTGTAGTCTGACATGGTGGTTGTGAGAGTGGTCCAGCATTTCTGTGTTCTCAAATAATATGCTGTGTCCAGGTTGATTCATCAGGTGCTCTGCTATGGCTGACTTCTCTGGTTGAAGTAGCCTGCAGTGCATGAAAGCCTTCGACAATACAAGATGCAGAATCATAGTTATAAAGATGGAGAATAAGGTTGGGGCAGTAACACTTCCCTGTTTGACACCTGATTCCATCTTAAATGGGTCACTTTGGGAGCCTTTGCTGTCCAAGACTGTTGTCATCATAGTGGAGCCACAAGATGTTCACAAATTTCTCAGAGTATCTGGTTTTTAGGAGAGCATTGCGATTCACTATGCAGAATGCCTTTGCAAGGTTAATGAATGCAATACACAGAAGTTGGTTTTGTTTGCTACATTTTTCTTGGAGCTGTCATGCAGTGATCATATCCACTGTTCGTCTGGAGAGGAATTCAGGGAGAGTGTCTTCTGAGATAGGTAGAAGGCAGTTTGCAAGGATTCTTATGAGGATTTTCCCAGCGGGGTTTAAAAGGGAGTTATCTCGATAGCTTCCACCAAAAAAATTATATTTAGGGCTTTAATGATATTGGCTAGAATTTTGAATTCAGAATGCAAATATATTGGCAATCAGTGCAATATTTTCAGAACAGAGTGAATGGAATTCCAGTGATCAGTCTAGTTTTTGCATTTTGCACTATCTCTGGTTTCACAGTCATCTTAAAGTGTAGCCCAGCAGAGAGTGCATTGGGGTAGTCTCATCAGTTAGTTACCAGTGCCTGGATCATTGTGGCTATACTATTTCTGCCAGGAAAGGCCATAGATCATGAGCCAATTGGAACTGGATCCAAGCGCTCCACGCCACCAAGTTCTTCTGAGCTTCTAGGGATTAGGATTAATTTTGGTTTCTTCATATTCACAGGGAATGCTCAATATAGGACAGGCATGGGCAAGCTTTGACCCTCCAGGTGTTTGGGATGTCAACATGTGGAAATATTTCAAATCTTTTTGTAGATCCCTCTGTTCTTGGCCTGAACCTTCTGAGACACCAAAATTTGATTAATACCTTTCTTGTTTCTATATTAACCTGCAAAAATTACAAATATATTCTGTTTCATCACGTTTAAACTAAGGAGGACATCTCAGCAAAGGAACTTTAGTTGTATAGTGATGCCAAGTGAAAACTATGACAAGAGCATCCTATGCCTCCAACTAGCAAATGTACCCTATGTAATATTACTTAATAATAAGATGTGATTGTGCATTTGAAGACATTTCAAGCAAAGCATGCCATCATTGCATTTGAAAAATAAGATGTCCTTTGTCGAATCTAAGGAAGTTGTGCTACCCTTCTAGTCTGTCTTGGTCAGACCACACCTGGAATACTGTGTCCAGTTCAGAGCACTGCAGTTGACAGATTTTGACAAGCTGGAATGTGTCCAGAGAAGGGCGATTAAAATGATCAAAGGTCTGAAGAACAAGCCCTATGAGGAGTGGCTTAAAGAGCTTGGCATGTTTAGCCTGCAGAAGAGAAGGCTAAGATGAGATATTTATTTATTATTTATTTTATTTCATCTACTTATACCCCGCCCTTCTCACCCCGGGGGGGACTCAGGGCGGCTTACAAAGGAGGCACAATTAGATGCCCAAATCACACAACAAACAATACAAAATATAACAGTTTAAAATATAACAGTAACAGATATGATGGCTGTGTATAAATAAGTAAAGGAAGTCATTGGGAGGAGGCTTTTTTCCTGCTGCCCTGGAGACTAGAATGCAGAACAATGGCTTCAAAGTACAGGAAGATTCCACCTGAACATTAGGAAGAACTTCCTAACTATGAGAGCTGTTCAGCAGTGGATCTCTGCCCCGGACTGTGGTGGAGGCTTTCTTTGGAGGCTTTTAAACAAGCTGGAGGGCCATCTGCCGGGGTGCTTTGAATGCGATTTTTCTGCTTCTTGGCAGGGAGTTGGACTGGAGGGCCCACAAGGTCTCTTCCAACTCTATGACTCTAAAGTAAAACATAGACTGAAATATCTGTTTTTTAAACTTGCAGGTCACTGTTCAACGTCAAGAAAACATAGGTAAGAAAGGTTTTGAAACATAACTAGCTTTAGGTGGAGTATGATGATTATTATCATTTTCTTCATCTTTTTCAGTATCTGTCTCCAAACCAAACCAAAGTTTTTACTATTTTTACAAATAGTAAAAAAGTTTGATTGTAAATTGCTTTCTACTATTTAATACAGGGGTCCTTAAACTAAGGCCTAGGGGCCGGATGCGGCCCTCCAAGGTCATTTACCCGGCCATCGCTCAGGGTCAACCTAGGTCTGAAACAACTTGAAAGCACACAACAACAACAACAACAACAACAATCCTATCTCATCAGCCAAAAGCAGGCCCACACTTCCCATTGAAATACTAATAAGCTTATATTTGTTAAAATTGTTCTTTTTAATTATTGTATTGTTTTTAAGCGGGTTTTTTGCACTACAAATAAGATATGTGCAGTGTGCATAGGAATTCATTCATGACCTGGCCCTCTGTTTGGGGACCCCTGATTTAATATGACAGAGAACTCACGTGGAGGAAATAAGAGGCTGGTTTGCATGTGTGAACTGACCTTAAAGGAACATTTCTTTTCACCTGCATAAATCTAATCGAGAATTTTCCTTTTCTTCTAATTAAGAAACACAAAAGCAGCAGGCTTCTGACTTTCAAAACGAGGAGTGTGACGCCTATAAGGTATGTTTTGGTAAATAATTTAACAACAGAAAATCGTACCCTACCTCTGTTTCATGCAATGTATTATATGTATATCCAAGCCAAGAGGGGAGCGGTTGTTTATTTTTATTTATAACCCAAAACTAGAATTTAAGAAAGCTTACAATTGTAAACAAATATAATTAAATTTACAAGACATCAACATTAAAATTAAACTCAACACTAAACATTGTTTTGAATATAAAAGTAAGAAAAAGTAGTATTTTTAAAATTGCATTCAGAATACTCTTAAAAGTTGTTTTCTTAATAACACTTTCCATGTAATTTTAGTGTGTTTTTTTAAAAAATAGTACTTCATTTGCAATAGTTTAGAAATTACTTAAATTTTATAGATGTGTGCGTGTGCGTGTGCACGCAATTTTGAAATAGATGTGCTTGTTCTACTAATACTCAGCATTTGAAGAATATAATCTTAAATTGCCTTTCTTTCCCAGTGAGGTATGAAGACATTTATTAGAAACTCCAACATAATGAAACTTTAGTATCTTTAAACACATATTTCCTAGCTAATCAGAATAATTGCCAAAAGTTGGTCAGTGAATAAAAAATAAGTGACAGTATTGCAGTATAATGAAAACTTTTGTGTGGGTGAGTGTCTTTAAAAATGCTCACATGCTTTCAAAAATGGAGAAAGAAAAATACATTCATTTAATTGGGTGAATGGGCAGTTTTCTATTGATAAATAGTGAAATTTGAATACTGTAGCTGAGTTGGAACAAAATGTTGTTTTTGTTTTCATAGAATATCGATATTTTAGTCTAATCTTTAAACTAATATTTGTTTTTAACAGTCATTTGAAACAGAGCTGTGTGGAGAGAGTCAACTTAATACAGGTATGGCAAATTAAAATAGAATAAAATGTTCTTTGTTTTCTTCCAAGTCTGATTGTTCAAATAATGCTTTAGTAAGTTTTATCTGAAATAACTAGGTCTAGCATTCTACATTAGCTGCTTTGTGAAATATGCTTAACTAAGTATAGTTAACTATCGTATATGCTTGAGTTTAAGCCGACCCGAATATAAGCCAAGGCACCTAATTTTCCCCACAAAAAATGAGAAAACGTATTGACTCAAGTATAAGCTGAGGGTGGGAAATGCAGCAGCTACTGGAAAATTTCAAAATAAAAATAGATACCAATAAAATTACATTATTTTAGGCATCAGTAGATTCAATGTTTTGAATATTTACATAAAACTGTAATTTAAGATAAGACTGTCCAATTCTGATTAAACCATTATTCTAACCTTCATCAAGGTAATGTGCTTATGTATCCTTCCAATAATAATAAAGAGAGTAAAATAATAAATGTAATAATAAAAATAGAGTAAAATGATAAATGTAATAAATAGATAAAATAATCTAATATCAATAATCAAGAGTAAAATAAATGTAATAATAAAATAGAGAAACATAATAAATATCGTAATAAATGTAATAAAATAATAATACAGTAACGTAATGTAAATGTAATAATAATGAATAGAGTAAAATATTAAGTGTAATAATAATAATAATAACAGCAAAATAATAAATAACTGACTCAAGTATAAGCTGAAAGGGGGGGGGGCGGTTCAGCCTTAAAAAAGGGCTGGAAACCCCAGCTTATACTTGAATATATACGGTAAATTCTAATGATCCAAGTCCCTAAAAAGTCATGTTCCAAATGCCGGCAGCTGATTCCAAGTTACAATCATAGCAATAGCGTCATAGTTGTGACTAAGTAATGATCATGAATATGAGATGGTTGCCATCTATATACTAAGTATATTTATTAACTAAGTACCTGCCTATTAACATGTCAATTGCTAGATCCAAGTAGCTGTCCAAATGGAACTAGAGTCATTTTAAACAACTATATTTATCCAATGTGTCTTTTTTCCCTATCACACCCCCTTCTGCCCTTTGTTGTTATCATAAACCAATAGCAAATGAAATTTTGCCTAACTAAAAGAAAAGTTATTACGGAAATAACTTTTTCTGTAATAAAGTTATTACAGAAAAAAGTTATTACAGTAATAAAAGTTATTACAGACTGGCTTTTCTTTAGCTGACATGGAACAAACTTGACTGCATCACTATCCCTTTACTTTTAATGTTGGCATTGGCAGCTGTTCTGCAAGTCATGCATGTAAGCCTGCCTTTTCTGTTATTGCTCTTCTTACATGGAGAGTCACAATCTGAAAATGGGAACCTGTAATGCGGATGAAGATTCTCCACACAATTGGAAATCTTTTAAAAAGCAGAATTCAAAATCCTGTGTTGATCATCTGTTTTCTTCAGGTTCTTAACTCTTCACATGTAGAGTGCAATGATGAAGGGGGCAGGGCCTTTGTGTTCTTATTATCACTTTTTTGTGAATGCTGGGTACGGCTATATAATTATACATAGATGACATTGCTTCAAGTTCTTTCAGCGAGTTAATTCTCCTTAAAATATTGACTTCCTAAAGAAATTGGGGGGGGGGGTTTCTTTAAAATGACGATAACATGTAGATATTAGTTATCCTGCCTAAAACATTTCTTGATGAACTTTGAACTGTAGATCACCAGAGCAATGTTGAGCTGTCATCCATTAAAAGACACATGGAAAGCATATCTATCAAGGTAACATTTCTCTATATTTCAAGGTGAATTAATGTTTTGCTTAGATGCTTTTGCCCCCTCCCCAAATGCTGTTCTTTGAAAAGTGACCAAAAATAAGACCACCTGGAGAAATTGTTTTTCAGATTATAATGCTTATAATTTTCCAGGGAAATGTAAAATAAAAATAAAGAGCTTTTATGAGCCTTTTTTATTATAACATTGTATAATCTAACCAGAAATCTTTATCATCACCGTCTACAGCAAAAAGTATCCCACTCTTATGTAATAGAAAACCTAAGATGGTATATGTAATATAGGTTCTTTCTGGTCTTACATCACATATATTGTTTTCAGATTTCAACCATTTGTTAGAAAACACCACTTCCATTTGAATCCATTTAGTGTCTGTCGTAGTTCTTATTCAGTTCCTTTCTAACCACTACACAAGTAATTTCAATAATAATAATAATAAACTTTATTTATACCCCGCCGCCATCTCCCCCAACGGGGACTCGGGGCGCCTTATATGAGGCCAGGCCCAAATAACAAATTACAACAGAGTAAAACCAGAAACAACAAACAACAACATCATAATTACATAATAATAAAAGAAAAAAACATATAAATGCATTAGCAATATAAAATTACAATAGAAACTTTATCTGTTGTAATAGTCTAACTTTTCTTAGAATTCTAAGTGTAGCTTGTACCTATTCATTGACTACAAAGACACATAATTACGGAGTTGAACCTCCTAGAAGTAAACTTGTATTACTGGAATCTAAAAATCTTCAGTTTGTGATTATAGGTTGGTAAATGTATTCTTGTTGCTACTTGTAATTAATTTTAATTATTCACTGTTTGTGCAAATATATTCTGTTTGAATCTAGAATATGCTAATTGAAATTGGGTTAGAATTGAATAATAATGAAAACTTTGAATTATCAGTGATTCTGTGGGAATGAAGTTCAGTGTGTTGTCAAAGGCTTTCATGACCAGAATCACTGGGTTTTTGTGAGTTTTCTGGACTGTATGGCCATGTTCTAGAAGCATTCTCTCCTGACGTTTCACCCACATCTATGGCTGGCATCTTCAGCGGTTGAGGGGTCTGTAGGAAACTAGGCAAGAGAAGTTTATATATCTGTGTAATGTCCAGGGTGGGAGAAAGAACTCATGTCTGCTTGAGGCAAGTGTTAATGTTTCAAATAGCCACCTTGATTAGCATTTAATGCCTTTCAGCTTCAAAGCCTGGCTGATTGCTGCCTGCGGAATCCTTAGTTAGGAGGTGTTAGCTAGCCCTGATTGATTCCTGTCTGGATTTTCCCTGCTTTTTGAGTGTTGCTCTTTATTTACTGTCCTGATTTTAGAGTTTTTTAAAAAAACTGGTAGCCAGATTTTGTTCATTTTCATGGTTTCCTCCTTTCTGTTGAAACTGTCAACATGCTTGTGTATTTTAATAGCTTCTCTCTGTAGTCTGACATGGTAGTTGTTAAAGTGGTCCAGCATTTCTGTGTTCTCAGATAATATGCTGTGTCCAGGTTGGTTCATCAGGTGCTCTGCTATGGCTGACTTCTTTGGTTGAATTGGTCTGCAGTGCCTTTCATGTTCCTTGATTCATGTTTGGGCAATGCTGCGTTTGGTGGTTCCTATATAGACTTGTCCACAGCTGCATGGTATATATAGGGTAGACTTCTGCAGATGTGAGAGGATCCCTCTTTTCCTTTGCTGAACATATCATTTATTGGATTTTATTAGTGAGTCTGCAGATAGTTTGTAAGTTGTGTTTCTTCATCAGCTTCCCTCTGTGGTCAGTGGTTCCCTTAATGTATAGTAAGAACATTTTTCCTCTGGGTTGATCTTTGTCTTTACTCTCATTGCTTGTTCTTGGTCTTGCATGAAGTTCAGTTTACATACTCTGGATCCAACCTTTTGCTTAATCAAAATAACTAAATTTTATTTCTTTTATAACAAAGAAGTGTATTCTGCCCATGTGCTCTTCTGGATCACCTGTGAAGAATAAATGCAGAGTGGAAATGGACTTGTTGTTGGAGGAAGGTAGCAGCTCTGCTCCGAAAGTGCTTACGGTAACGAATGTTCTTTTCACCTTATTAAAACGTTTTTCCATATACAGTTACCATTGCTGATTGTAATGAGTGGTATGATTTCAGTATAGCTACGGCATAATATATGGACTTCACATTTATTTCTATTGGAAATCCAATATCTGCACATCCATCTCAAATGTGTGCACAGATCTCTTGAAATGGATGTACAGGCCTTACGTATAACAGGTGTGGGCACAACCTCCTGAGCAGTAAAAACGTAGGCCCCTTCTACACTGCCATATAATCCAGATTATCAAATCAGACAATCCACATTACCTGCTTTGAACTGAATTATCTGTGTCTACCCTGCCATGTAATCCTGTTCAAATCAGATAAGTGGGATTTTATATGTCAGTGTAGAAGGGGCCTTAGTGAACTGAAGTAACTTCTGTTTACTTGAAGTGAAATCCGGTTCAATTTATTCACATGCCTACCGGTAGTTCAGACACATCAGTTTGAAATGGGATGGCAACTGTCTAATCTCCTTGGGAAGTCTTATAATAACGAACATCTAGTGGTAAATAAGATGTATGTCACAAATAAAAATAGTTGAACTATTTTACGGACACAAGGCCATTCTGGAAATCTATGCTCCGTATACTAAGTGCCTTCTTTGGGGATTTGTACTTAGGTTGTGAGAACAAAAACAATGGATTGTCACCAGCAGCCTCCTTTCCAAGATTTAGATGATGTCTCCTTGAGTGGTGAGTATAATAACAAAATGTGAAATATTTTGGTAAAAAAGCAAGTTCTTAAAGAGAAGTAAATGTTTTGATGAAATACATTGAAGTCCTAAATCCTGTTGTTAGTTGTAACTGGAATAAAATTATTGAATCAATTGGATTTATCTACATGTTGACTCACCCTTCAGAACTGATTCAGTGGATCTTTTTCTGGTTGGGATTAACCAAAGAATAATAAAGCAAATTTTATAGTATTGAGCAGAAAATATTGCATGTCCAATTAATTTAATAAAGAAATGGTAAACATTTCTTGAGAGTCATGCTAAGATTATTCTAAGACACGGTTTATTGATTATTTTTTTTACATATCTGCATTTAATTAAGTCAGGTATTGGTTGGAAAACAAACTTTGCCAAAAATACAAAGTCCAATAAATTCCTCACTTGCCTTGCAGACAATTTTATTAATATCAAGTCAATACAGAGTTTATGGTATAGTTTAGGGTACAGTATTAGGCAGACTTGCTTTTGTTAGTAACTCAAACAGCCAGAAACTACATTTATTTGTCACTCACCTGTCTCCATGGTGCTGGTTAACCAAGAGTCTACTGTATGTATAGTGAGCGGTTTCTCCCATAAAGTGAATCTATGTTATTACCTTTAATCCAAATGTAACCAAGATCATGGCCCCTTATGCAAACATATAGAAAATAGCTACTTTCACAGTGTCAGAAGGGATGAGAATGATCACTGGATTGCTGTGAGTTTTCCGGGCTGTGTGGCCATGTTCTAGAAGCATTCTCTCCTGACGTTTTGCTCACATCTATGGCAGGCATCCTCAGAGGTTGAGAGGTCTGTTGGAAACTAGGCAAGTGAGGTTTATATATCTGTGGAATGTCCAGAGTGGGAGAAAAAACTCTTGTCTGCTTGAGGCCAGTGTGAATGTTGCAATAAATAATCTTGATTAGCATTTAATGGCCTTGCAGCTTCAAAGCCTGGCTGGTTGCTGCCTGGGGAATCCTTTGTTAGGAGGTGGTAGCTGGCCTTGATTGATTCTTGTCTAGAATTCCCCTGCTTTTTTACTGTCCCTCTTTATTTACTGTCCTGATTTGAGAGTTATTTAAATACTGGTAGGCAGATTTTGTTGCCTTCAACAACAGAATGATTACTATTTCCTTGTTTTTTTAACTGTTCTATATCTTTACTTTATATTATTTTTTTCTCAAAGTTGAGATTTAAAAAACCGGCAAACTATTAAATGTTAACTGTTTAATATAGACAACAGCAACAAGACTCTAAAAAACATTAAGTGGAGCCTATTATAACCTCGTATTTTAAAATTTTGTCTAATAGGCCATCCTGATGTGGTCCTAAAGAAGGAAATGCTGTCTTCAAATGGACATTCTACATTGCTGTGTCATCAGCAGTCTGACCCAGATACCTCAAATTTAATCAATAGGACCGTGGTCCCTAGAAATCACTCCCTTTGGGGGAATAACGAAAGTGGATTCAGTAGCTTTTTGGAAATGTATGAGTCTGCAGATGAACATTGTTCTTGGAATAACGTCACAATAGCAGATTTGTATCCAAACATGGTGAAGACACTTAGCAGACTGTGGCATAAAGCCTCTTTTGGTTCATTAAATAGATTGAACAAATATGGGTATCGGCACCTGAAGAAAGGAAAGCTTAATACTAGCAAAGAGATAATAAGGAACATCAGACGATTAAAGTTGAAATCTAGCTTCACAATAACAGATGAAGAACAGAAGAAACATCAACTGCCTATGAGAAATATGAGAAGTAACAGTCCTTTTGATGATTGTGAGCATCAAACCGAGTTTTCAGAGCACGATGTGACTAGAGTGGTGTCTTCATGCTGTGATACAAATAGCATGGAAATAAACTCTTCTGGCTTCGTGGAAGAGCATACGTATGCTGAAGATGTGGGACAAAATGGCACAGAAACTCCCATTTCTCCTAGAACTATTTCTCCAGATGAAACATTTCTGGTCAGAAGACCAAAATGCACACCATTATCTTCAGACTCTGTAGAATTGAGTCATTCTCTTGAGGTGTCTTCTTGTGCAGTTGACAGTGCAGATTCGGGAGGGGTATTTAATCTAACAATTGAAGATAAACCTGTGGAAATTAACACAAGCGCATTCAAGAGTGCCTCATATTTAAGCTTGTCCTTTAATGATACTACCAATTCCAATTTGCAAAACAACAGCCCTTCTCCAGTAAAAACTTCAAGTACATTACTGGGGAAGCATGAAAATAAAAGACTCAATAAAGCCATTTCATTACAGCGGAGTTATTCACTATCATCGCTTCCTGTTAGCCGAAGTCCCAGGAAAGCGCATCAGAAATGTGAAGATGCATTTGAAAAAATGTATGAGGAACTGTGTTCTCCAATATTACACAAGTCGCTTACGTTTTCAAATATGCGTGCAAGTCCACAGAAGTCTGCAAAATTACGCACATCTAGTTTTAATGGTGTGTCTTCAGAACCCCATCAGAAATGTAACAATACATTTGATAGCATATACCAACAATTGTGTTCTGGAGAGTTTCCCAAAAGTCCGACATTTCTGAGAGCAGAAAACCTAAAAAGAAAGTATGAAGGATTACGTATGTCTGAAACTGTAAATGCTCTCATTAATTCCCCAGTAAGAACTTTGTCAGTAGTTTCCAGAATTAAAAGAGCAGCAAACTTCTTCAGTGAGGACTCGAAGTATTCACCCGTAAAAAGATTTAAAAACATATCTGATAACCCTTACGTGATTTGTCAGAAACTGCCTTCCTGGAAAAATAATCTTCAAAAAACTGACATGACTTTCACAGTGTATACTCCTAATATGAACTGTTGGACTTCACACATGGTAAGGACATGCTTTCTATGATAAAAGTTGAAATCACACTGATATGTCTCTACCCAATCTTGTCTTTAAAAAAAACAAAACCCAAAACTTGGTTTTCAGTCAAAGTTAATACACAACAGCATTAGTATTTGAATACTAGTACAAGCAGTCCCTGAGTTACAGACATGGCTTACATATGACCCGTAATTAAGAACAGGGGTGAGACAACGGGAAGCTAGATAAAATCTACCCCTAAAAAGGGAAATTTACTGCTTTAAGAGTTGGGGGGAATCTCTGCTGAAGTTTATTAATATTGTAATAGGAGTTTACTAATATTGATTATCCCTAATCCCTGTATATCCATAATCTGTATTGTAATGCCGCATCATTTTAATGACTGAATGCATAATTTCCAGGATCCTGGATTCCCTGTGTCTTCGAATCACAAGTTTCTGACTTCTCCAAGCACAAATAGGACAGGTAGGCTCTTCGATGCTCAGTAGATGTTGTCTTGAGGGTGAACTCTCCACATCAGAACATGCTATGGATGATGGTTGACTCAATGTTGCCAGTTTTCCAGTTTCTTTCAGTTGTGTTTCTCTCCTTTCCTAAAATGGAAATGGAAATCACAGCTACAAAAGCTGTGTGAAAAATAGGTTTGGACATGGAGTCAATATTGACTAGAGAAAACTGAAGAAACTAAGATATTAATAGAAAGTATTTAAATGTATTTTATTATTATATTTATTTATACGCCGCTTTATCCCTGCAAAGGGGATTCAAAGCGGCTTGACATTAAAGTATTACTATACAATTTAAAATATGCAAAAAATGAAAACTTTAAAATTGAATTAAACTCACGCAGCACTAAAAAAAAATTGCAGTAAAAAACCATCACACTTTCATATTGTTTCTGTTTACATAGTCTGCTTTTTTGTTTCTGGTACAGGATTTTTTTTAAAAGAAATCAGAGTTTGATTCATTTTCATTTATATGCTTTGCTGTGATAAAAGGCTTCATCTTTTATCTTTTAAGATACCTTTACTTCCAAAATTCTTAGTGGGACATTTACTTTATTTGTCACATCTAACTTCTTCACAGAATCCAGGATAGCAGATGTAAATGAGAATATTTCCAGCTGTTTACCAAGTTGTGTCTTTCTTGGAGGACCACAAAACTGTACAGTAAAGTAAGTGACACCTGAATTTTCTTTTAGTTTCCAGTTGTTGTCTCTGTCCATGGAGAATATACAATATTGTCTCTATCCATGGTGAAGATAATTGTAAAGAGGTTCTTATTAACAACATCCTAAAACACTAGAAATACAGATTTTGTCTTATTCTAAGACTTGCCATAAATGTGTTTAATAAAAATCGTAATAGAGAATCATTAGTCTTATGTTATAGATATTCACGAGAGATAGGGCCTTCTCAGTGGTGGCCCCCCGGCTATGGAGCACCCTCCCTGTTGACATCAGGCAGGCGCCCTCCCTTATGTCATTTCGTAAGAGCCTAAAAACATGGCTATTCGAGAAGGCGTTTAACTAAGTGCTATAACAATTGGCTGACGACTGGAACGGAATATGGATTATGAGATTGGTGTATGATTCTATGATGAGACGACGCGGATGATTTAGTTTAATTATATGATTGTGGTATTATTGCTTGTTATGTAGATATTCATTATGCTATGGCTTATTGTAAACTGTTTTTTATATGTTGTACACCGCCGTGAGTCGCCCTAAGGGGCTGAGAACGGCGGTCAACAAATGCAATAAATAAATAAATAAATAAATAATTCATATGCAACTGATTTCATATTTTCTTTAAGCCCAAGTGTCCCGTAATTGCTGCAGACTCTTACAATTTTAATCGTATTTGCTATATTTTAATTGTATTTTTAACTTTATATCTACACACGAATATTTCTTTTGAAATTTTTGTATTTGCTTTGTTTTAAATTGTCATTAGACTACGTAATTCTTGTCAACCTTCAGTCCCCACAGGGGAAAGGTGAGGCATAGATAAAGTTAATTAATAACAAATAAATAAGGAGCTAAAAGGAGGTGTTGATATCAGTGTGCCAAAATTACAAGTGTGCTTGTTTGTTTCAAAAGCTAAAACGTGTTTGAGCTTGATGCCACCTTTCTATATGACCAAATGAGCAAGTTTAGGTATGTGTGTTATTGTATCATTTTGAAAGGCAGATGCATAGTGCTAACATTCTAACTCTGCCAAAGTTTAAGAGTTGGTGCAATAATGAATTTAAAATTATTAACTGTGGTGTTGTGGTTGAATACTGTATTCCTTAGCTAATACACTCTGAATTTGACTGTCTTTTGTTTGGATTTCTTTGACATGCTGCAGCCGTTAGCTAGTGCATTAATTATTTATGGAAATGGAGAGAGGCGGTATGAGCATTTTTCCCTCTCTGCAAAAGAACAGTTGAAAGAACTTGCTTGTTGACAGTGCATGTTCAGATGCCTACTTTTTAGGACACTACTTCTTAAACTGTGGGTCCTGGCCCCAAATGAGTCCCCTTAGTTCAGTATTGGGGTCTCAAAAATAGCTACCTAGTCCTTCAACTGTACTCCATAAAAAGGAAAATCAGACTGTTACCAAGTTTTGCAATGCTGATTTATTTGCATTAATGCTTGATTTTAATACATTAAAATTATAAGGTTCCCTTGCATATCCTTGCAAGGGAACCTACTTTATATACATGTATACGTAAATTTGTATGGTCACGTAAAAGTTTCTCAGGCAGGAATGGCTCCCAAGTCGAAACAGTTTAAGAAGCCTTGCTCTAAGATAGTTATTGTTCTTTGTTTCTTACTGATGGTGATCTCTTTTCTAGGGTTTCCAGTTGCTTGAACTACAACGATAAGCAAATGAGAAGTGAAAATACCCAAGAACTTTTATGTAAAGATTATGAAGTATCACCTCTGCAAAGATATGCAAGGGAACCTCATAATTTTTAAGCAAAAGCATAACTTAATTGTATCCATAGTGCCTTTTCATGCAATAAAGGAACATTGTCCCAAATGGGTTTTTCATGATTTGAAGCAGAAATCACTCCCCTTAATCTTGTAACCCAGAAGCTCTGTTTACAGAGGATGCAAGAAGAGCATATGTTAAAAGCATGCAGAGGCTACAGAAGGAAGAGGGGACTCTGAGTACTGTGTTTCATGAGGACTGAATCCAATCCTTTATATTTATGCTTTGCCATTCAAGAAAAGAACAACCTCTCAGCACTTAACTACAGACCACATCTATAGCATTGGGATAATCCTATTTTTTTGCTTCAAGAGCCCATGAGCCATTTGGCTTTTTAAGAGAAAGCGATATTCCTCCTGAAAGCTTATCAAACTTAAGTATTCTTTATTAGGAACAGATCTTTTTGTACATAGTTTGTACATAGCTTTAGCTATTTTGCTTGGCAAATCAAGATGTACTCTTAATCTATAATGTTCTATAACAGGCTATTCAAATGAGTATAATTATTTTGGTGAGCACCAGTTTTAGAAGATCCAGAGCATTATTTTACTGCTGAAAGTACTAGATTTGGAAAGAAAAATTGTATATTTCAAATCTGATTTTTATCATGTTGAGGTGCACATTTAGGTACTTGACAGTTGTATATCTTTATTGCCTAATAAATCTTTATATATGGTTACATTATATACCATTAGCAGGTTAATGTTGTATCTGGGAGTTTTCTAGGTAATAAGCAGCTACTTACGTAATCTTACTTTCTGTGTTGTATTAGGGATGGGAGGGAATCGGGGAGAAAATTAATATTATCTAGAAAAGAATGGACATTATACAATATTTTGAAAGGTTAGAATGCAATTTTTGGTATGTATTTAAAAAAACTTTGTGAAAACAACCTGGATGTTAAAATGGTAAGTATAAAAAGGTTAACCGGAAAGTAAGGTTACAAGGCATGTCACTCTCATGGTAAATTTTCTTGGGGGAAGTTGGTATTAATGCCATGTAGCAGGAAGCTAGCAGAAGAAAACAAGCAGTGCCAGTTGTCAGCAGCTCATCAACTGTCATAAAGCTTAAAGATGAGCATCCTCATTCCATTTCCCTTCAAGTACGAAGTTCGCACTAATACGCTACCTAAATGTTAAGGGCATGAACGCCTGTGTGATTCATCATGAAATTGTTTCAGTTTATGGAGAGGATGTAATGTCAAGACAGCATGTGACAAAATGGTTATGGAATATATTGTGAGACCATGAAACTTCACAGAGCCATCCAAAACAAATGTCATGGGATGCTGACAGTGAGATCCTGTCTCCTTCAAGACAATGCGCGTCCGCACACTGCTCATGCAACACAAGTGTTCTTGACTTCATTTGTTTGGGATAGTTCAAGCCACCCTTCTCACAGCCCTGATCTTGCACCCATTGACTAAATTAAAGGAACACCTTGGTTGAAAACAGTTTTTTACAACAATGAGGTGAAAATCAAAGTGGCAACTAGCTGAAAAAGGCAGAGGGAAACTTCTGTTACACAGGCATCAAAAAACCGTCCCACTGATGGCAAAATGTATTGAACTGAATGGTGATTATGTGGAAAAATAATGTAATACTTGCGACAATCTGTAAGTTTTATAAAATATATTCATTCTTCGTATTTTAAACAAATCTTGTAACCGTACTTTCTGGATAACCCTCGTAATTCATTTTACAGAGGGTAAAATGATGGGAAATTGTTTATTACGTCTCTTCTAAGCACAGTGACATCCCTTTGTACTGCTACCATAAAACACAAACGGCTGTATGTATGTGTTGACTAAATGCCCTTTCGGAAATACCTAAAGAACAAAAACTTAATTTGTGCTCAAAAGACCTCCCTTAGCAGAAAGACCTTTGTGCTGTTATGCACTATCTAGTCCTGGAGTTCTCGTTCTGAAATTGTTATTATGAGACGTTCTATCAGAACAAACAGAAATAAATCAGTTAAATAATCCGTGTTGTCAACATCACACAAGTTAGAACATAAAAACATCTGTCCTTTTAATCTCTGGTGCAAAATTGAAATCCTAAACTCTGGGGAGTAAAGTGCATTTGAGAGCTAGCATCCTGTAGTATTTTGGTTGTTGGACCAAAGTTCAATCTCCTGTTTGACCATGGCAACCCACTGACTGACCTTGGGCAAGTCACACCTGGGACAAATTTGGCAATATTAAACATTTTATATAGGTTCCATCTTAAGGTTGTCATGAATTAGTAACAACTTGAAGTCACACAGCAAGTTGTATTGAATGTCTGATAGCCAATGGAGCTGATGTAGTGAGAGTTGTATGCTTGTAGCAAACCTCAATCAGCACTTCAGGTGCCACTGTTTGTACCACCTGCCATTTCTCAGTTCTCTGCAAAGATATTGTCATGTAAAGTATATGTGGAATATTATATGTTTTTAATGATTTTATATGGTTTTTATAATGTGTGCTAAATGTTTTGTGTTTTATGACTGTAATGGCATTGAATTGCTGCCAATTTGTAAGCCGCCTTGAGTTACCTTCGAGCTGAGAAAGGCAGCATAGAAATACCATAAATAAATATCATGGGAGACAAAGGAGCCCTGGGGGATTCCCCAACACCACTGTTTGAACTTGTCCTTCCGGGAAGGAAGCCAGTATAAACCCTTCTCCCAAATCCCATCCCAGTTTGGTGACCTAGAAGGACACTACGATAGGGTAGTTTCAGAAGCCAGTAGAACCAACCAACAGGGACCCATTCTCCTGGACCACTTCCAGTTAAAGGTCTTCCCTCAAAGTGGCCACAGTTGCCTGTCCTATAACCAGCCTAAAATCACATTAAAATAGATTAGGACAATATGATTCATCCAGGAGTCCTTAGAGCAGTGGTTCTCAACCTTTGAGTCCCTAGGTGTTTGGGTCTACAACTCCCAGAAATCCCAGCCAATTTACCAGCTGTTAGGATTTCTGGGACTTGAAGGCCAAAACTTCTGGGGACCCACGGGTTGAGAACCACTGCCTTCGAGTAAGATAAAGAAAAATATATTCTAATGCCTTGTTATTAGAAGAAACTGTACCTTAAAGAACTGGTCTGGTCTAGGTCTCTGCAGGGTCAACCGTGATTAGGACTTGGATGGGAGATCACGTGCCGTGGGGCATATTTCAGAGGAAGCCATTGGCAAAACCACCTCCGAGGTTTCCTTGCCGAACAAGATCTTGTAACAACAGTTGACTTGAAATCACATGATTTTTCATTGGTGATATATTGACATGAGAACACATTTACTATTTTATATTAAGATGACATTTCTAGACTATAGTGTTATTGTGCATTCATAAAATTGGGTCCTGTTCTGAAGTCTCACAGATGCATAGCTGGTGGCACAAATAGTTTGCTAGATGGCTCGGTGGGTATACCCTAACATTTGTGTAGTTCTTCAGATCAAGCATGAATTAATAACAATGTTAAGTACTTCCACCTATTTGATTAAATCACAAGATCGGGGTTACTTGCAATGAACATTTTGGCACTACATTTTACTTGCAGAAAAAATGAGATCAAATGTCATCTCTGGCTATTTGCCATAAAGTTAATTGAAAGGTCCTGGTATGTGAAGGTTAGTGGAACATAATCTAGGGCCATGTTGACGTGCATTTGCATTTGCCCACTAGGACCAGAAGGCTACCATTAAACATCATTTCAAGAAGATTAACCAATCAGACTTTGCTTTTTTACAGCCTCTACTTAAATGTCAACCACTGATTTCAGAGCAATAGCATTTGCTTAATTCAAGCGCTTTTGCCTACAGTATCAAATAGGGCAATTTCTATCACAGCAAGGGTTTAGATTTTTAAGTGAGTATATTTAGGGAATAATAAGGAAGAATATTTTCCTCCAGAATAGATGATGAAATTGCTGTACAAAAGTCAACAACAATATTTTAAATCCCAAAAAGTGCATCGAATTCTTCCTTAGAGATTTTTATACCTCATTTAACTCTTTCCTTACAGAGAATTGGATCTGAAAGTACAAGGCATTTCACACACATTAAATAATGTGGATTGACTCTAGCAGTATTTACCAGCAGGAAACTAAACATATGAGAGCATTAAATTAGCTAGTTTTCTGGCTATACAAGTGCTAATTAGATGAACCAAAGCACATTGCTCTCTAATTAACTTTAAATACTACATGAACAATGTGGCAAATACAAAATATGCAGGAGATAAGCAAGGTTTTGTTTTCAAAATTCAATACCTTTTGTACTGAGTGTTGGACATTCCAGGCTTCTAACATTCCTCATAACACATAATAGGGAAAATAAAATTTGGCACACCAAAGGTCCCCCTGATAGTAATCCCTGCTGTTATCTTGGATCAGTTACAGTTTTTTTCATATGTTATAGGTTTTAAATGTGTACTATGAAGTCAATGTTGATATAGTGGTTTCAGCACCAGAGACTATGAAATGCACTATGTAATCTTGGGCAAGTCACTCTCTATCTCAGAGGAAGAAAATGGCTAGCCTCCTATGAACTAATCAAGAAAACCCCATGATAGGGTTGCCATATTCCAGAAATGGCTTGAGGATTCACAGCAGCAATAAATTACAGAGTATATACCTGTGTGTTATGGCGAGACAGTATAATAAAGAAGAAATTCTTCACTTGTACATATTTATTTATTTACCATATTTATACCCCGCCTTTCTCAACCCTGTAGGGTACTCAGGGCAGCTTACATATATAGGCAACTGTTAGATGCCATGTACATGCATATACATACATAGTAAAATATGTACATTAAAACAGTCATTGAAAACATCAAACCTTAAAACACTTATTAAAAATTATGTTATCCAAATTCATAATCCATGTCTGTTCCAAATGGTCATTGCACTATTCCATATTCTCTAGTTAGTTGCTAACTGAATGCTTGATCCCACATTCACATCTTTAGCCTTTCCCTGATGGTCAGGAGGGAGAGGGCTGATCTGATTTCATTAGGGAGGGAGTTCCATTGATGAGGGGCCACCACTGAGAAGGCCCTGTCTCTCGTTCCCACCAGACACAACTGCAAAGCCTCTCCAGATGGTCCAAGAGAACCAACAGGGACACACTCCCCCTGTTTAGTTCCCTGCGTAGATCATCCACTATAATCATGCCCTGTATGAGTCAGGCTTCTCTGCCTAAGCATCCAATAATATAGAGTTTCAGTTCAGTAGAATGAAGAAACAATATGACTTGGCACCCTGCAGTATTAGTAGTTACTCATTGGGACTGGTCTCCAAACAAAAGCTTGTTTAACTTGGAAAAAGGTTGACCACACTATTTTGACACTTGTCTCAATTAGCTTCAAGAAACTGGCTTCAAGAAAGAAATCTACCTTGATTTTCCTCACATCAACATTTTCTCTGGTTTCATGATGCTGACTTAATTCATATTAAATTTATGCTTCCCCATCTCTGATGCAAACATTTATGAAACATGTATGAAACTGAGTGTTTTGTAATCAACATACATATCATTTGGATATATATCATTATGGACACATCCATAATAAACTCCAAAGGAAAAGGACTTGCTGTGACTTTTGGAGCTCTTCTTCTTCTGCCAATTAATCATCTTTTTAACTGCCAAGTTCTAACCTCGGTTGGTTAGTTATTTCCAAATGAAATTATCTGTTTTATTGGTCACAATTACTTCGCTGAGCAAATCCCTACTGAAACCTGGCATCATTTGTAGTGGAAGTGATGCCAAAGACACTGAAGGGATCTTCATGTGGAGTATCGTCAGTCAGTTAAGTTTCAGCATTTAGCTGTTCTGTGTTGAGATAAATGCAGGTGTCGGAAGGCATGGAGCTGCTGACAGTAAGGTGGTCTTCATCCATTTCTGGTGTAGGGTGTTTCTTTTTTCTGTTTCTCTTCTGTTTTCTTCTGACACTGTGATCCAAGGAAGCATAGCACATCTGGTGCTCAGAAACCTGTTTCAAAATAAAGTAATTCATATTGACCTAATGACAGTTGTCTTGTCACCAATGAGTTTTTTATCTCATAATTTATTAATAAAAATAAAAGTGCATTCATTTAATAAATAGAAATGAATTTGTGGGCAGATTGCAATCTCTTCTGCCTGTATTTACTTTAAAAAAATGTATATTATTTTATTCACCTATCTTCCAATTCTGATAGTCAACACAGCTAGCAACATATTTCCAAACAATCTATAAATATAAAAATGTAATGTTCGTTTGTGGGATTAACATAACTCAAAAACCACTGGATGAATTGCTGCCAAATTTGCCCACAAGACACATACTAACCCAAGGAGTGACCATCACTTTAAAAAAAATGATTTTGTCATTTGGGAGTTGTAGTTGCTGGAATTTATAGTTCACCTGCAATCAAAGAGCATTCTGAACTCCACCATTGATGGAATTGAACCAAACGTGGCACACAGGACTCCCATGACCAACAGAAAACACTAGAAGGGTTTGGTGGGCATTGGCCTTGAGTTTGGGAGTTGTAGTTCACTACATCCAGAGAGCACTGTGGACTCAAAAACGATGGATCTGGACCAAACTTGGTACGAATACTCCATATGCCCAAATATGAACACAGATGGAGTTTGGGGGAAATAGACCTTGACATTTGGGAGTTGTAGTTTCTCATTACTTTATTTTCCAGATCTCCAGACTGGGCCACAGCAATGTGTGGCAGGGGGTAGCTAGTATAGAATAAAAAGTGTACGAGAAATGCAATAAAAGGTTAACTATAACAGTTATTTTAAAATAATGTATAAAGTTAAAAACGTGGCTGGAATTCTCTGTTGTGGTATACATCGTCTCATGCATACTTATCTATGTAGTAGTGGCACAAAGGAACCCTATTAGTGAATTGTGAAGATGTGTAATGGGACATCAACAAGCTCATCACAAGATGCATGAAGCTCCAACAATGTGAATTGACACCCCATAGCTGGTGTCCAGTTTTAAATTGGGACCCAATACACAACAGTCGCCGGTGGTGCAATGGGTAAGCCACTGAGTTACTGAACTTGCTGACAGAAAGGTTGATGGTTCAAATCTGGAGAGTGGTGAGGTCCCACTGTTAGCCCCAGCTTCTGCCAAATTAGCAGTTCAAAAACATGTAAATGTGAATAGATTAACAGGTACCACTCCAGCAGGAAGGTAATAGCGTGCCATGCAGTCATGCCAGCCACATGACCTTGGAGGCATCTACGGATGATGCTGGCTCTTCAGCTTAGAAATGGAGATGAGCACCACCCCCCAGAGTTGGACACAACTAGACTTAATGTCAAGGGGAAATATTTACCTTTACACAACAGCCACTTTGCTGCACACAGACAGAAGTCCACTTACAAATACAGTTTCCAAATGAATTCTAGCCTGCATATAAACCATAAAAACAGCACTGCAATATATATGAGCTTAATATACTGGATCAATAACCACATACAGCTTAATAGTGAGGGAACGTCTATCTCAGTCTCTTGCAACATAATATTTTGGGCTTCTGAATGAGAATATGATATATGGAAACTATATTAAATGTAGCTCAGGAGCTCCAAGCAAACATATTCTGGATTGAGGAAGACCATTTCTTCATCTAGGTCATAGCTTCATAAACTGTGGGTCTCGACCAAAAATAGGATCCTCTTAGCCCAATGTTGGGATAAGGAAAAAAATTGGCAATGCATTTACACAAATCTTTTTAGCAACAATGTGCAGTGTTTACAGTGGACTCTGCAGAAAATGCTTCAGCTGTACTTCATAAAAAGGAAAATCAAGCCTTGCAAATGCTAATTTAGTATAAGTAAATGTTTGATTTTTATGCCTATTTTATATGCCTATATTTGTGGTTACGTAAACATTTCTTGGGCAGAAAGAGGTCACGAGTGGAAAAAGTTCAAGAAGCCCTGATTGAGGTCATCTCCAGTCATGAAGAAGCTAACTGGGAATTTAGTCTTCTCTCTCTCTCGCTCTCTCTCTCTCTCTCTATATATATATAGTAGATTGATAGAGACTAGCAGAGTAAAGAACAACATATTCTAGAGTTTAAACACAACTATGATGAAAAAAGCCCATCCTAGACAGCAAATAACACCCAGTTTATTAAAAACAATACCTGTACTTCAGTGGTGGAGGGGTTGCGTTGAGCATTCATTGGTTCATAGCAGCTTTCGTCTGGAAAATATTTGAAGTAGAAAATAAGTTTGTGATTGCTGAAGGCTTTCACATACAGCATCACTGGCATGTTGTGTGGTTTCCGGACTGTATGGCCATATTCCAGAAGCATTCTTTCCTGACGTTTCACCTGCATCTGTGGCTGGCATCTTCAGAATGTGGTCATGTGGCCCAGAAACCACACAACACCCCAAGTTTGCGATTGATTTAAGCATTCAGCATTGAACTTTTATTTCCACTTAAAATGCAGTGTGGCACTTTTAAACATGTGTCATAAATAGTATAATTAAGAATATTCTTCTGGAATATTGGGACACCAAATTGGGAGGGCTAGCTAATACTCCAGAAGACAGGAGCAGAATTCAAAATGATCTTAACAGATTAGAGAGATGGGCCAAAACTAAAAGAATGAAGTTCAATGGGGACAAATGCAAGATACTCCACTTAGGCAGAAAAAAACAAAATGCAAAGACACAGAATGGGGGACGCCAGGCTAGAGAGCAGTATGTGTGAAAAAGATCTTGGAGTCCTCGTGGACAACAAATTAAACATGAGCCAACCAATGTGATGCGGCGGCAAAAAAAGCCAATGGGATTTTGGCCTGCATCAATAAGAGTATAGTGTCTAGATCCAGGGAAGTCATGCTACCCCTCTATTCCGCCTTGGTCAGACCATGCCTGGAATACCGTGTCCAATTCTGGGCACCACAATTCAAGAGAGATATTGACAAGCTAGAATGTGTCCAGAGGAGGGTGACTACAATGATCAAGGGTCTGGAGAACAAGCCCTATGAGGAGCAGCTTAAAGAGATGGGCATGTTTAGCCTGAAGAAGAGAAGGCTGAGAGGACATGTATAAATATGTGAGAGGAAGTGATAGGGGAGGAGGGAGCAAGCTTGTTTTCTGCTACGCTGGAGACTAGGACACGGAACAATGGCTTCAAACTACAAGAAAGAACTTCCTGACTGTGAGAGCTGTTCAGCAGTGGAACTCTCTACCCCAGAGTGTGGTGGCGGCTCCTTCTTTGGAGGCTTTTAAAAGAGGCTGGATGGCTATCCATTGGGGATGCTTTGAATGCGATTTTCCTGCTTCTTGGCAGGGGGTTGGACTGGATTGCCCACGAGGTGTCTTCCAACTCTATGATTCTATGAATGGATAAATATGCTATTAAAATATCTGGAAACAACAGATTACACTAATAAATGGCTTCTGCTGGGGAATGGAAGCCAGCACCATCAGTTCCCTGAAAAGGCAGCAAGGTTGCTTTCCAGCTTCTTTCTCTCATCCATGTGCTGATGAGAGCAGGTAGAGGTTGGTGGGCTTATATTTCCAAGTCATTTGTGTGTTTTCATTTGTTCTTTTTTTGTAATGATTCTGTGCCCAAGAGCAGTACAGAAATGCTCCCAAGTAGGAAATCATGCTGTATCTCCCAACACAATGCAATCTAGCACTTCTTGAGTTTGGCCACATCCAAGGAACCATCTCTGGTGTGGCCAAGAAGAGGTGTTGGCTTTCATCTCTTCTGGAGGACACATATGGTGACACTCGAAAAGAAGTAGAATGTTCTGTAGGTTTCATAATGTTCAAAATGGATTTGGAAGCGGTCCTTTGATATCTGCTGGGATTTGCTTCCAGGAAACTCCATGAATACTAAAAACTGGATGCTCAAGTCCCATGATAGCAATGGTGTAGCAAAATAGTGTCCCTTCTTTGAAATGGAAAAATCAAGGTTTGCTTTTTGGAAGGTTTTTTTTTTGGGGGGGGGTAAGGTATTTTCAAGGAGTGAATGGTTAAACCTGTGAGTATAGAGGGGTAGCTATGGTTGAGACCATATGTTTCATCTCCCATGTCAGAAGTGAAATAAAATGAAAACCTTAAATGCAACTTACCTAGCATTTCTAGATGGCGGTGATTTAGGTTGTCATAAACAGGAGATTCTTCAGTATTAAATTCACCATAACTGTAAAAAGAGTGACAGGAGTTAAATCTCTGAAAATACTATGAAGCAGTTTATCTGAAAATAGTTACACTTTGTTTAAAATCGGTTGCTCAGAATACAAATGGAGTTATTTTTCTTTGGTTCTTTGTTCTTAATGTATCTAGGGCAGTGATGGGCAAACTTTTGAGCTTGGTGCGTCACAATTCACCAAAAAAACTTAGCATAACTCGGGTGGGGTGTCCCTTTGATAGAGAGAAACCATAATTTCGTGGTATTTATAGTTTAAATTAAAAAATGTATAATTGCAATATATAACTGTATTTAATAAACCAAAAACTAATTATTTAACTTACCTTCTTAGTGACTTCTTGGTTCATCTGTCAGTCGGTTTCTTTTGTTGGTCTTAATATCATTTAATTTGTGTGGGGCGCCGTGAACTAAGATAAGTGAGGGGGGGGGGGAATTCTTTAACTAACCTGCCTATTAGTGACTTTTTGTTGCTGCATTTCATTGGCTCAATCTTCAATTGAAGGTTGGTATCTTGTACACTTCAAGCCCAAGCAAGTGCTACTAACCTAATATTTCAATTTCCCATGACATTCCGCTTCTCCCTGCTCCGCTGGCCGGAAGTGAGGTCAAAGATCCCTTAACGGCCTAACTGGAAGCCCCAGAACTAGATGTTTTGGCCTACACACCTCTGGCACAGAGTGTCTACACCACACTATAGCAAATGTTTCATCCTTGGCTCCTGCACCTGGCCGTGCAGGAGCCGTCCTTCTCAGCATGCAACCCCATACTTCTCTGTATGCAGCCGCATGAGGCCGTGTGTCATCGGAAATGGCTACACTTATCAATGCGGACACACATGTCATAGGTTCGCCATCATGGATCTAGGGCTTTTTCAAAATGAAAGAGGCTCTAGTGCCTCAGCAAACTGAAGATCCATGGATTCCTCAGGATGCAACCTTGGCTGTTAAAGTGTAATCTTAGTGCCATAATTGTGTAGTGTCAAAGACTACAATGCAATCACAATTTGACTGAATAATGGACTGTGTTATTACATCCCATGAAGACTCATAGAAAGGGTGCTGGTAGTGTCCACCAACATTAGATACAGCAGATTTAAGGTGACTCTCTTTCTCACTGTTGACTTTAACCTCTGAGAATTCTCCTTAGAAAGCTGAGGAAAAGTACAAACTAATATGGGAAATTATGTTGGAAAAATGCCTCCTCTCTTGCGTTATGACAATATGGGAATTCCCTCACATCAAAGACTATCTGTGAAAGAGTACCTTATGATCCAGTCCATGTCTATGAAATATAAACGCAAGATTCATCCATTCTGGAGAGAGAAAATGGTCAGAACATTGGCCATACCTTGGACTATTTTCAGGGTTGTCTTCATCTGTGTTACCTTGAAAATATTCTGTAAGGAAAAGTAGAAAAGCTTATATGCAGTGCAGTTCTATGACCTGGTCATTTATAATAACTTTTCAGTGACCTGAAAGGATAACTCACTCACAGTCCATCTACACCAGAACTGCCATGGCAAAATGCTATGGGATCCTTGGAATTGTAGTTTTACAAGATCTTTAGCCTTCCCTGCCACAAAGTGCTGGTGCCTCACAAAATTACAAGTCCCGTGATGCCATAGCACTGAGCCATAACAGTTCAAGTGGTGGCAAACTCGATTAATTCTACATTGCACATGCATCCTCAGTTTACTTAGAGCCACACTAACATAGTAAGTAGTCCATGGACTGGGGCAGGTCCTTGGAGAGCTTTGAGAGAGGCAAAAAACAAATCATGGCTAGTGTGTACAAATAGATTCCTGTCTCCTGCCTGCTGGGAATAAATGAGTAGCCCCCTACATTAAAAAAGAAAAATATTAATGTATTTATTTAGTGTGTTTTATTAACTGATTGATTGGACATTATTCCTCACCTTTCATCTCAGATAGGGAGGACTGAAGACCGACAGGTCGCAGGTTCGAATCTGGGGAGAGACGGATGACCTCCCTCTATCACTCCAGCTCCTCATGCAGGGACATGAGAGAAGCCTCCCACAAGGATGATAAAAACATCAAAATCATCTGGGCGTCCCCTGGGCAATGTCCTTGCAGACAGCCAATTCTCTCACACCAGAAGCGACTTGCAGTTTCTCAAGTCGCTCCTGACATGCCAAAAAAATTAATAATCTCAGATAGGATCCAAGATGAATCTAGATTCTGTTATTCCCATTCATTCAGGGCGCTTCCAGACAGCGCCAAATCTACATTTTAAAACTAAGTCAAAAAATCCTGAGACTTGACAGCAGGTTCATATGCAGACTTATCAATCCCGGGATATCGTTCCCTGCTGTCCTCACAACCTTCTTTTGAAGCGAATCAAGACAGAGGGTTGACTGGAGGCATCTGGTGGAATTTTTTTTTAAATCCCTTAATTAAGTGCCATGTGGTCTTTTCTAACTTTATGATTCTATGGTTCAAATCCCCATTCAGCCATGGCCGTTCAGCCATTGGGGGACCTTGTGAAAGTCATACTCTCCTAGGCTCAGAGGAAGGCAGACAAGAAAATGCCTTAGGATCCTCATGAATTGGAAACAACTTAAAGGCTCCCAACAACAGCACATTAAACACTTTGACAGTTTAAAAGATAGATTAAAACCAGTTTCCAAGATCTCTAGCTCAACTATTTATTTGCTGCAGGGTTTGAAGGCATTTATTTGGTTGTGATAAACAAGCACCGTTTTGCGTTTGCCAATCAAAGGGAAGCTACTGTAATAGGAAGCAATTTAAAAACATTACTTTACTGGTGCATGAATGAAAGAGGCCTGGCACTGTTGAATACCCTACAATTACAACTATGAACATTACTAGACCTATCATTAAGCAGAATGGAGCAGCTACCGCATGTAACAGACACACAATTCTGTCCTCTATGATAAAGGAACTGTTATGTCTTTATTATTGGGTTCATAATTCTATGTGTATTGTGTTGAGTATTTGGTTCTTTGCCCCTAAACTAGTCATCCAGCTATGCCATTGGAAGTGCAGAAATTAAACTCATCTGCCACTTTGGCTAGCTTCTGCACATATAATGGAAGGTGATGAAAATCTCAAGTCCTTGAGCTCAGGTGGCAAAATAGTTTGAGTCACTAGGTTGCTGTGAGTTTTCCAGGCTGTATTACTATGTTCCAGAAGAATTCTCTCCTGATATTTAGCCCACATAGAATCATAGAGTTGGAAGAGACCTCGTGGGCCATCCAGTCCAACCCCCTGCCAAGAAGCAGGAAAATTGCATTCAAAGCAGCCCCGACAGATGGCCATCCAACCTCTGTTTAAAAATCTCCATAGAAGGAGCCTCCACCACACTTCGGGGCAGAGAGTTCCACTGCTGAACAGCTCTCACAGTTAGGAAGATCTTCCTAATGTTCAGGTGGAATCCCCTTTCCTGTAGTTTGAAGCCATTGCTCCACATCCTAGTCTCCAGGGTAGCAAAAAAACAAGCCTGCTCCCTCCTCCCTATGACTTTCTCTCACATATTTATACATGGCTATCATGTCTCCTCTCAGCTCTCTCTTGTGCTAAACATGCCCAGCTCTTTAAGCCACTCCTCATAGGACTTGTTCTCCAGACCTTTGATCATTTTAGTCACCCTCCTCTGGGTGCATTCCAGCTTGTCAACAACTCCCTTCAATTGGGGTGCCCAGAATTCGACATAGAATTCCAGGTGTGGCCTGGCCAAGGCAGAATAGAGGGGTAGCATACTCCTATTGATGCAGGCCAAAATCCCATTGGCTTTTTTTGCTGCAGCATCACATTGGTGGCTCATGTTTAACTTATTGTCCACAAGGACTCCAAGATCTTTTTCAGATGTACTGCTGTCGAGCCAGGAGTCCCCCATTCTGTATCTATGCATTTTAATTTTTTTTCTGCCTAAGTGGAGTATCTTGCAGGCATCCTCAGAGGTTGTGAGGGATATATGCACCCTCCTTGCCTAGTTTCCAACAGACCTCACAACCTCTGAGGATGCCTGCCATAGATGTGGGTGAAACCTCAGGAGAGAATGCTTCTGGAACATGGCCATACAGCCAGAAAACTCACAGCAACACAGCGATTCTGCCCATGAAAGACTTCAACAGCTTATGTGGAGTAAATTCAGATTGCCACTTTCTTAACCACCTTCTAATTCATGGTATGAGTTGAGACAGAATCATATTTCCATGGTTACAAAACCATTCCTTTGAATGAGCAAGTGTATCTAGTTCAGATATAAAGAAGAAGAAAAGGAGAACACATCCTGCCTAATCAGGTCAGAGATGAAAAGATATGCGATGGAACAAATTATACAACACTTTGCCTCTAGATGCAGCTCCTATTTCCTCTTTGCTTTTTCATAGATGTAAGGTAGCAAAGAAAGTATCAATTATGGGGTGTATCTACACTCTAGAACTAATGCAGTTTGACCCCACTACAACAACCAAGGCAAAATGCTATGGAATCCTGGGAATTAGAATTCTACATGGTATTTAACCTTGTATGCATCTGGAACATGGCCATGCAGCCCGGAAAACTCACAACAACCCAAAAGATTATTAGGTGGGATTGATTTTTAGCATCTCATTCTCTGCAATTTGAAGACTGAAGAGAAACTATGGGGGAAGAATTCATACTTTCCCCCTCACCTGACACCAATAGCTAAATCTCTCCAAATAACTAGCACATCATTAGTTTTCAGCAATAAAAAATATTTTGCACGATATTAATATTCTTACTGAATTCTTTCTAAGCACAAACCTACAATGTTTCTTACCTTTTTGTTTCTTTTCTTTTAAGTAATATGAAATATTTTTCAGCAAGGAAATAATCATAACTGTCGTTACCAAAGCAAGAGGTACCCAGCAATAGGTGCATTGCTCATTTCCCATGTCTGTAACGAAAGGAGTCAACATACACACAAAAAAATTGATATTATTCATTCTAAAAGTTGCAATCCAAAAGATGTTTCGGCATACCTAGGTTAGTACATTTATTTCAACTTTGTAGATCTTGTGGAGTCAATTGTGAATTGCACTGTACTTATAGGCTCTGGTTAAGCTTTTGGGTTCAATAGCTATGCGTAAAGATGTGTGCATTCCATTCCTATCATCTGATTTTAAACAATGGTGGATATTTGTGTACAATACAGTCACAGCTGAGTGCCTCCTCTAGAGTAAGCATGAGAACTTGCCTCCTTGCCTTGGAAAGAGAGTACGTGCATGCGTGTGTGGCATGCAGCCTCCAAAAGTGTGCACACCTGCTTGCAGCCAAGTGTCTCTCCTCTAGAGTAGAAACAGGTAAGAAGCCTCCTTAAAGTGGATAGTGGTAGCTAAAAAATGGAAGCATAAAGAAATTCCTACGATCGATGAATGGACACTCAAATTACTGGATATAATGAATATGGATTGCCTATCAGAACACTTGAAAAATAAGCAATCAAGGTTGACCAGCAAAGTAGACTGGTCCCCAGTCAGGAATTATTTTAACATCAATTAATCACAACACAAAGAGGAAGCTTGCGAAGAACCCAAAACACTCCAAACCTAAATCTAACATGCGAACCGGGCTTTAATCATTAGATAATCCAACTAACCTCTCTTCTCCCCAACCCCCACCCTCTCCGTACACTGCCCTCAAGCCCTAAGCACACCCCCTCCCCACCCTCCCCTTCTTCCTTCCCCTCCACATCCCTGAACCTGACACACTACCTATAGATTTATTTTATCAATGATACGTCAATGAATGACACTCTCTTGATGTATTCCCCCAAAAAACACTCAATAAAAATTATTGGAAAAAAAAAGAAGCCTCCTTAAAGCATGCAACTGCCTGCAGCTGAGCACCTCTCCTCTAGAGTAAAACAGCTTCAATGCCTAAAATGATGGGAAGGGGAGCCTGGGAACCCCCCCCCCCCAATGAGCCAATAGAAAATGGATCTTTCGGCATCCCAGAGCAAAAACAGATATCTGGCCTCCCAATTTAGGGAGGCCCCCAAAAACAGATCAGGGCCCCCACTGAAAGCTGGATCACGAAACAGGTCAAGGTTTACCCTGAAAGCACAACCCTAGAAAATATACAAAAACATACAGGTATGCAAGTCCAGACAGAGTAGCCAATTATAAACAACTTAGGCAATCAGCAAGTATTGCCTCCCTGAAACACAAGCTCCCATCTTCTCTCTCGTCCATCCATCAAATGCAAAATCGAATGCATATATCCAATATATTATATGATGTATTGGGATGGTCAAACTGCTGTCTTGGGACTCATATAGTCTGAAGATGATTTATTCAGTCCTCGCCTCCTCCATTTGTGAACCATCATTTTTTGTGACCAAAAATATGTTGTTTTGTGAATAACTGTCTCTCTTGAAAGATTCTGGAAGTGATAACTCATCTTTTACACAAGTTGCAGAGCCTACTCTACTCTGTTAAACATTTTAAAATGTCAATTTTTCATAAGCCAGAAAGATACGAGGGAGAGATGACTGGAACCAAGACTATGGCAATTCGGCAAAAAATATAAATGAAACAAAATTGTGTTAATTTATCTATTTGATAGAATTCATCCGACTTGTGATGCTGAACAATACAGTAGTTTAAGCTACTAGGGCCCCTTCCACTCAGCTGAATAAAATCCCACATTGTCTGATTTGAACTGGGTTATATGGCAGTGTGGACTCAGATAACTCTGTTCAAAGCAGATATTGTGGGATTTTTTGCCTTGATGTTCTGAGTTATATGGAAGGGCTCGAAGATTTTGAAATTGTGCATCAGTTTTTTTTCTTGGATATATGTATGTAATATATTTATTTATATTTTCAATTAGTGTTTGTGCAATAACTTTCTAAGGGCCCTTCCACACAGCCCTATATCCCAGAATATCAAGGCAGAAAATCCCACATTAACTGTGGACTCAGATAGCCCAGTTCAAAGCAGATATTGTGGGATTTTCTGCCTTGATATTCTGGGATATAGGACTGTGTTGGAAGGACCCTTAGTATCAATCCAAATTCCACAAAAGGGTAAGAAAGATTCTCTTCAGCTTTATAAATTATGCAGTCTGTCATTAAAGATAAGGGGACATAACATGGATGTCTGAGGATTGTGGAGAAAACCCCATGTGAGCCATTACGATGCAATATTAGAAATGGAGAAAAAAATTGCAAAATTACAGCCAGTTTTTCTTTCATGGCTCGTGCGATTATACACAGAGAATGGGGCTCTGATATATCTGTGAGAGTAGGTCATGTTAATTCGTGAACACATCTATAGACAAAGCAGAAAAGTGAACATTGCAAGATGACTAGAAATGACTTTGATCTGATCTATCTGCAGCCTCTGTCTGGTTCATCTGTCTGTTTTACTGTATGGTTCCCTGTTTTAGAATTTGATAATATTCAATTATTTACTTCATTGCTGATAGCCCTCTAGAACACTAGAAGGGCGGGATATATGTCCCATGTAATAGTTTTAGAAAACATTTTTGAAGTAGTAAAGAACTGCTAAATGAAACGTTGACTTCAAAAACATTTCATTCATGTTTGAAAAGAGAAAATCGTTCCTAAAAAGTTGCTAAAAGAACACTGCATTGTTTTGGATTATTTAAAGACTTCAGTCAGGAGGGTGAAGATGTTTTGATGTTTTATCATCCTTGTTTTAGGCTTCTCTCATGTCCCCTCATGGGGAGCCAGAGCTGTCAGAGGGAGATCATCCGCACTGTCTCCAGAATAGAACCTGCAACCTGTCGGTCTTCAGTCCTGCCGGCACAAGAGTTTAACCCGCTGCACCACCGGGGGCTCCTGGTGGCATCACTGAAAATAGGGTTTTGTTTCCCCCCTTTTCTAAATGGTCATATTGTTATTGTGTGCCTTCAAGTTGTTTCTGACATATGGCAAGTGACAACCCTAAGGTGACCTATCATGACAATAGGACATGCAATATATTAATAGCGCTACAATCGTGTCCTCTAACCACTGGAAATCCTGTTCAGTGGCAGCACACCTCAGCTGGGCTTCTGAGGTTTTTGCAGATGCTGGCCACACACGTACATTCTAATTTTAGATCATTCGGGGCTAAAAAATGTGTTTGTTTTATTTAAAGAAAGGGAAAGGAAGCATTACTGTTACATGCTCTGTACAAATTTCAGAAGCTGACATCTTTTTTTCTCTGGATGCTATTTCACCATCTTTGATGCAGAAATGCCTTAAAAACTTGCATGTTGTATTTTGCAAAGTTGGGTTCATTCAATTACAGGATCACTACATGTTGGATTTTAAAGGTTTGCTATGCCTTGCTTGATGGCTAACCTGGCTCACCCTGAAACATTTTCTAATCTGAAAATGCCAAATTCAGTTACACACAAGTGGATCCTATACCCAAGAAAGTTAATTTTGTGCCCTCTTTCACAGAGACTGTTTTTCCAAAGATTTGGCCCATCCAACACTGGAAAAACCACCAGTTTATGGCCACTTTTCCTCTACATATACGTCCTGTAAGATCCCAAAAGTAGACACTGTGGCCCTCATGCTGTCATTTTCACAGTTGTTTGATTATTTCCATATTTATCTAGTGAAGAACCCTGTAAAGCAGTGTTTCTCAACCTGGGGGTTGAGACCCATGGGGGGTTCGCAAGGGGGGGGGGTGTCAGAGGGGTCACCAAAGAGCATCAGAAAACACAGTATTTTCTGTTGGTCACGGGGTTTCTGTGTGGGAAGTTTGGCCCAGTTCTATCGTTGGTGGGGTTCATATTGCTCTTTGATTGTAAGTGAACTATAAATCCCAGCAACTACAAATGTCAAGGTCTATTTCCCACAAAATCCACCAGTGTTCCAGTATTTTTTGTTGATCATGGGGGTTCTGTGTGCCAAGTTTGGTTCCATTCCATCATTGGTGGAGTTCAGAATGTTCTTTGACTGTAGGTGAACTATAAATCCCAGCAACTACAACTCCCAAATGACAAAATCACCCCCCCCCCAACCCCACCAGTATTCAAATTTGGGTATATTGTGCCAAATTTGGTCAAGTGAATGGAAATACATCCTGGATATCAGATATTTTCATGACAATTCATAACAGTAACAAAATTACAGCTATGAAGTAGCAATGAAAATAATTTTATGGTTGGGGGTGACCCCAACATAAGTAACTGTATTAAGGGGTTGTGTGTGTGTGTGTGTATTGTGTTGTTGAATGATGGAATACACAAAGTTTCTTTTCACTTGGGAAAGACCAACATAAAGCCTTAGTGAGGATCAAAGAATATGTGATGCAACAGCATATCTTTTATCTTACAGGACACAAGAGCAGAGAAAGCCATTACATTGACAACATTGGTCCATCTGGGTCAGAGTTTGTGAGTTGGAATTAAATTTAGCATAGTTTGCATGCAAAACATAAGCTCTACAACTGAACTGCAAGTGATAAATAGCAAGGAGCATCTGTAGCAGAAAAATGGCTGAAGAACTTAAACAATACTTCTTCCTGTATCGGTCTTCAACATCTACTTTATTTTCAAGCCTTTACAGCTCCATTTTATAGAACTAGCACACAACCAAAATGTAAGGGGGGGGGGAGCAAGAGACTCTCCTTTATACAGATACTGTCAAACCATACATTTTCTTATTCTTTTTAATGTTTTAATTTTAAAATGTTATTACCCATCAATTTCTACTTAGGAACAACTGCTGGATTATGATTGCACGATATTTCTATACAATGGAGGCAATTTTGCACTCACAGGTAACTAATTTGAAAAATTGGACAGAATTGGCAGAAACTGAACTCCTAATTTTAACAGTGCTTAAAATGCTCCCTTTACAGCAGTGAAATAACTAATTTTGTAATAGAGAGTTTGAGCTGAATGAGTCACCTTCATACCCTTCTTTTTT